CATCTCTGTGAGTTCGAGGCCAGCCTGGTCTACAGAGTGAGTGCCAGGACAGCCTCCAAAGCACAGAGAAACCCTGTCTGGAAAAACCAACCAAACAAAAAAGAAGCACTGGTCTAAGGACAGGCACAGTTGGGTGGAAGGGCGCATGTCCAGTGCCTACTGGTCTCTAGATACCATTTATTTTTCAACAAGTCTATCGGGATGTGACAACCGAGGGGACTCAGAAAGAAGTGTCCTGGGTCAGGTTGTGTCTCCCGGCCTGCCTCCAGCTGTGAATGCTGACTCAGGGTTGCAGGGTTAGACAGTGAGCACCTTCAGCTGCTCTTTCTGCAGCAGCGTAAGGGGAGGGCCTCTCTGGAGCGAACCCAAAGCGCATTTCTGTCTCCCTGGGCCAGGCTCACCAAATCGGCATTCCCTTTCAAAACATTTCAACTTGCCTTTAAAGAACATAGTCCAAGTTGTGGGTTTGATGTGGAATAAAGGACCGGCCTAGTTAGAACAGAATCGCCTCCCTAGGGTCGGCCTGTGATTGACAGGGGAGGGCCTAAGGTTGGCCTGTGATTGACAGGGGAGGGCCTAAGGTTGGCTTGTGATTGACAGGGGAGGGCCTAAGGTTGGCCTGTGATTGACAGGGCCACTGAGGGTGGCCCCACCTTGGGCGGATTCCTTCCCTTCTTGATAATGACTTTCACAGTCGTTATCACAAAAACCAAAACCAAACAACCAATCCTCAATCATCCTGGCGAAAAGCCTAAGAATTCAAGATGGTTACAACCATTTGAGAGTGGGTCTGCTGGCTAGTTTTATGTCATCTTGGCACAAGCTGAAGTCATCTGAAAGAGGGACCCTCAATTAAGAAAATGCCTCCCAAGCCAGGCTGTGGTGATGCACGCCTTTAATCCCAGCACTCAGGAGGCAGAGGCAGGGGGATCTCTGTGAGTTTGAGGCCAGCCTGGTCTACAGAGCGAGTTTTGGAACAGACTCCAAAGGCAAGGCTGTAGGGAATTTCTTAATTAGTGATCAGTGGAGGAGGGCCCAGCCAAGTGGTCCTGAGTTCCGAGGGAGAGCAGGCTGAGCAAACCATGGCAGCAAGCAGCACCCCATGGCCTCTGCGTCAGCTCCTGCCCTGACTTTGATGACGAATAGTGATATGGAGATGTAAACCAAACACTCACTCCTCTTTCCCAAGTTGCTTTGGCTAGGGTATTTCACGGCAGCAACAGGAACCCTAGTTAAGACAGTTGGCAACTTCAAAATGGCTAATGTCAAGAATCTGGGATTAGAATGATTTTTATGCTGCTGTGGGCACTGAGTCTGCTGGGAAGGTGAGGGACAATGATGAGGGATTAAACATTTCACCCATGCACTTCATCTCCAGGGCCCACCAAGGCGGTAGTGCCTTGTGGCTAAGGGATATTGAAATTGGATCCCTGCCAATGCCCCCGCCCATGACCCTCAGCAGGAGCCCAGATGAAGACTCATTGTGAGTTTGACATCTGAAACTCTACGAAATTTCTGCTTTTTATTGTATATGCCGAGGGGGAAGGGAGAGAGAGGAAGGCGGGTGTGTGTGTGTGTGTGTGTGTGTGTGTGTGTGTGTGTGTGTGAAGTGGGTTGGTTCTGTGCCCGAAGACCCCTCCTCACCACAGGGTCTGTGTCAGTTTCAAGGGAAGCCCTCCTTCAGATCCCCTCCTACATCTGTCTGGAGAACAATGTACAGAGCATCTCCAAGGATGTTTATTAATTTGCATACTTCTTGGACTTCCGGGAAGTTTGCTGTTTTATTGGAGGTCTCCAGTGTGATGCTACGGATTGAGCTGTGGGACTCACACATGCTGTGCACATGCGTTACTACCGAGTTACACCTCCAGCTCTAGTTTTGTGTGTGTGCATGTGGTGTACATGTGTGTATGTGTTCATGTGTAAGTGTGTGTGTGAAGGCAAGAAGTTGACACCAGGAGTCTTCTACAGTTGCTCTCCACCCCATTTTTTCCACGGAACTTTTCGCCAAATTTGAAAGTTATCAATTTGGCTAGGCTAGCCGATCAGCAGGTCTGGTTAGGAAAGCCCCTAAAAGTACTAACTTTGCTTTTTGGCTTCTGTAGTTGGGCTGTTCTTGCTAATCAAAGTATGTCAATCCAGATGTGTTTTTTTTTTTTTTTGTGCTTTAAAACCCAAGAACGGTATGGCTTGGTGCTGCACAATTTGGGCAAGTTTCCTGTGCAGCCACCAGCTGCCGGTAAAGACTTGGTATTCCACTTTAAGAGTTTGTGTTCCCTGAAGGAGTCACCTTGCCCCAATGCCACAGTGCTAGTCCCAGAGTTTCAGTACAGACTATGACAGCTATGCAAACAGGCAGGAAGGTTCATGGAAGGAGGGAGTACTATGGTTTGTTTCTGCGTGCCTATTATAGGGTCTACAGGCTACTCATTCTCAGCATCCTGTCACAGTTAAGACTGTCAACATCACATCTGGCGGTGGCACACTCCTTTATTCCCAGCCCTTGGGAAACAGAGGCAGGGGGATCTCCAGTTTTGAGACCAGCCTGGGCTACAGAGGGAGTTTCAAGACAGCCAGGGCTACACAGAGAAACCCTGACTCAAAAAAAAAAAAAAAAAAAAAAATCAACAAAGAGACTTCCTAACTTCAGGTCTAGCCTAGGAGGATTTGCCATCTGTCATTCATGTGTCTCCCAGGATTGGGGGCATATGCGTGGGATGGGTGTGGGGAAGCAGGGTAGTAGCAGGGATGTTGTAACTGGATTGAGACCCTGAGCTCAGCCTCCCGGAGGGCTTGTACCCTTTTGCTCTTGTCCTTTTCCAGTGGGTGAGATAAAATCCCCACGGGAGGTCGCCATTCCTCAGACCTGCCCGCCCTACCTTCCTCTCCATGTTACTTTGATACCATCCCTGGTACAGAAGCACAATGGGGCTGATCACAAATGTTGGTAGCGTCTCTTCGGTGTGGCAGACTGTGGGAGTCTAAGTCTTCACACCCAGACAGGCCATGCTAGGGAGCGTGCATTTGGGTTGCTCCGTCCCAGTCTCTAGACTCCTAGGATTGTCACTGCAAGCCACCTTCAGCACACAGCTTAATCCACAGCCCTTCCTCTCCCTGTTTCAAACCTTTCTTCAGATCTGGGGCCTTTGGGAACCCTGGTTAACCCTTGATTGACACAACTTTCCCTTACTCGGGAGAAACCGTCTTTAGCTCCTTGGAGCCTGTAGACACTTGAGCCTCTCTATTCTAAGATTTTAAAGCAGACCTCTCCAGAGTGTCTCAGTTAGCACTTCTACTGTGAAGAGACACCATGACCGCAGCAACTCTTATAAAGGAACACATTGAACTGGGGCTGGCTTACCGTTCAGAGGTTTAATGCATTGCCATCATGGTGGGAAACATGGAGGCGTGCAGGCAGACACGGTGCTGGAGAGGAAGCTCAGAGTTCTACATCTGGGTCAACAGGCAGCAGGAAGAATGACCCTGGGTCTGGATTGAGCATTTGAAACCTTAAAACACAACCCCAGAGACACACTTCCCCTTAACATGGCCACACCTCCTAATAGTGCTACTCCCCATTGACCAAGCATTCAAACGCGTGTCAATGGGTGCCATTCCTATTCAAACCACCACAGAGCTCATACCTACATCTGTCTTGAGAATTTTCATCCTTGGCAGGGGGGCAGACAAAACATCAACCCGTTCCTCCACCTAAGGTCCCTATGACAAACCGAAGTTCAATTTCACTGGAGTTCACCCTGGAGAACCAGTGAATTCATGAAAGGTTACTTACAGAGCACGGGGAAGGCGGCGTTAAAGTGGCCTCACTGGACGGGGTGCCCAGCATGGATGACAGCTTCCCACGGATAATGGCTTCCCAGTATAGACGGTGGCTTCCAAGGCTGAGCAGTACAGCCCCGCCCCCTTCGGTGTTCTCAAGTCCATACCCTCTAGCCCCTCCCCAGAACGTGAAGCCACGGGCAATCAGGGCAGAACTGTATACAGCTGGTTGGGAGGAATGACTGGCTAGTTCGGTGAGGGGCTCTGGTCATCCAGGCTCCATCGGCCTGTGAGGAAGCATCCTGTCAACAAGGCCAGCTGTGACGGTGGACCTCAAGCTGACATGATGGCGCACACCTGTGTTTCAACCCATCCTGAGTTTTCAGTTCTTTGTATTTCAGGGTCCTCTTTCCAGTTATGACCCTGGGCCATTTTAGCCAGCAGAAACAGTAACAGGAGCCCGGGGAACTGAACATCAAATTCTATCTAATTTCTGTCCATGGTTTTTTTTTTTGCTTTAAAGGATCTAAAAGGAATGACTTTCCCACACGCATCATCCTAACTAGAAATAGAGGTTAACCCTACTGAGCACTGCTGTGCAGAGGCTCTGATGTGTGAATGCATCAACCCTTTCAGCTCGGTTTTCTCCGTCCGCCCCACAAGGCAGAGACTGCGAGTGAGGGACCTAGGAGCTGGTGGCCAGGGTTAGGGGCCAAGGCAGCTTGGTTCCAGGACTCAAGTCCTTTTAGCCACAATGCCGCTCGACCTAGATTCATGCCTTTGAGGTACATTTCACAAAGTGTACGATGAAGAATTGGGTTGGGGGATTTTGACATACATACTTGTATACCCACCACCCCAAGGTATAGCAAATTCAGGCCTGACTTCAACTGTTTTCACAGGAGTGACAAGATCCATATTCGAAGACTCAGCACCCAACAGACCTGTCCTTGACCATCGATCCCTAGGAGTTAGGCTGGTCCTGAACTTGGTGATCCTCTGCCTTTGCCTTCTGAGTGTGCCACTGGATCTACCATGACCATTTAATTATTCTTCCAGCAGACATCAATGCCTAATAGTCTTCCTGGGGCGTGGCCCGGTGTTGGGGTGTGGCTCAGAGGTGGGGTGTAGTCCAGTGTTGGGGCCATCAGTTCCCTGGTTTAAACAAACAGTAACACCCCATTTTGTTTCACTAACCAGACAGACCAAAACACACAAGCTTCTTACATTAAAATTGAGAAATTTATTTTTTCATGAAATAGTAAGCAGAATATTTCATGAAATAGTTAGCAGAATTAAAGTACAGAAATATACAGCTTAAAACAATTGAAATGATACTACAATCTGAATGACAATTACAGATTTATGAACAAAGGAAAATGAATAGTTTAGACAATGAGTTCACTTCAAATTTTTTGCTCAATAATTCACCTGGAATTAGACACGGGAGGGGAACTGAAATCTGGGCGCCTCGTAAAATGAAATAATGCCACTTCATCCTTGTCACCGGGGCTAACCCTGCTCAACAGTGGGTCGGCTCTGTTCCCCATCACAAAAGCCAGTTACCCACCATTCACAAAGGTGTCAACTATCAGTCCTTTCTGATTTTTAAGGATGCTGATTTAAAAAATACTTTCTTAGGCACTGAGCAATAGATTTCTCCAGCCTCGCTTGAAGACTTGGGGACAGCATCCCAAAGCATCGGCTGGTCATGGCTTTCTTCTACAGCTCACTGAGGTCATCTGCCTTGTGTACTTACAAATGTTAAAAGGCAAAAATTACATCTCAACAGCAGCCAAAAATTTATATATATATATGTATTTTTATGTATTTACAAACTGTACATATTTACATGACCTCATCAAATACTGAATTGTAGAAATAAGAACCACCTATAAAGGAGTTCATCGCGTGTCCCAGTGTTAGCTTCTTGTGCAAACTACAACTTCCCAGAGTCCCCGGAAAGCTAAAGACAGTCCACGTTGCGGAGGCCACCGTCCATTGTTAAAGCCCCAAACCTAAACACAAAGGGAAGACAGAGGACCTCAGCACATCCACTCTTTGATCCCCAGGGTCCTCATGTCCAGGGACTGACAGGATCGTCGCACACACACACACCACACGCCTGGCAAGAGCTCCATCGGTGAACTGTACCGGTTCCTGACTTACAGAGCAGACCTCAGAGGAGAGCTTTATTATTACATTTTTGTGTGCACACAGCTTGAGGTCAGAGGACAACTTCGGATGGAGTCAGTTCCCTCCTTGCACCTTGAACACGGGATTTAGGGGCTGAACTCAGGCTGCCAGGCTTGCACCAGAGCCCTTACCTGCTGCACCATCTCGCTGGCCTGGGAACAGTTATTTTTAAGTAATTTAAGCAACTGTGATTTGCTCTATTACTGAAAATCAAGGCATTGTCATATATGAAGGAATACAAATCAATGGCTTGGGAAAGCTTAAAAACAAAAACAACTCTGGGTGGTGTTGACACAAATCTTTACTCCTAGCACTCGGGAGTCAGATCTCTATGAGTTCGAGGCCAGCTTGGTCTACAGAGCATGTTCCAGGACAGGCTCCAAAGCTACAGAGAAACCCTGTCTCAAGAAAACCAAACCATTTCTTAGGGCTGGAGAGATAGCTCAGCAGTTAAGAGAGAGCTGGCTGCTCCCCAGGGGACCAAGGCTGGTTCCAAATACTGACAAGGTGGCTCACAGCCATCTCTAAGTCCAGTTCCAAGGACTCCAGCTCTCTTTCTGGCCTCCGGGCTCATTGCATGCAAGTGGTACACAGGCATACATGCATGCAAAACACCCAAACACGTAAATAAGGAAAATGTTCAAGAAAATATATTTGAAAATCGCACGTATTTATTCACTGTATGTGCCCCTGCACACACACCATGGTGTTTTCGTGGAGGTCAGAGGACAACTGTGGAAGTTAGGCAGTAATGCTGGTGCTCAGGCCTGGACACACTGTCTTCCTCAGTGGAAACGTGGATTTAGACTGCTTTCTAGATAACAGGGGCTTACATTTCCCCCTTCTTTCCTCCTCCTCCTGGTTTATACCTCTCTCTCTCTCTCTCTTCCTTTCCTTTCCTTCCTTCCTCTCCCCCCTCCTGTTGAGACAGGGGTTCTCTCTGCAGCCCCGGCTGTCCTGGAACTTGCTATGTAGACCAGGCTGGCCTTGAGCTCACAGAGATCCCTGTGTCCCTGACTCCAGAGTGCTGGGATTAAAGGCATGTACCATCACACCAGGCTAGAGTTTTTAAGGCAAGGGAGGGACATGATCACCCCAGTATTCAGAAGCTTGTTCTGGCTGTAAACAAGTTAGCAGGTTACCAACGCAGCTTCAGAAGGGAAAGTCTGGATGAGGGAAACGGGAAGCCTTGTGAAGACCACCAAACTAGTCAGGGACGGAAAGCAGCAAGCCCATAAGAATTCATGTTTCAAGAGGTACGACGTGGTGTCCCTGCTACAGCATGGGACAATTAGAGGGGAAACGGAGTCAGAATGATTTCAGAAATCAGCGCCAAAGGGCATCACAAGTCCCCATCACCCCAGGAAGGAAACGTAAGGGCCAAGACCTCCCTTCCCTTTCCCACTACTGCACTCCCTGAACGGAGACAGACTGACAAGCAGAGGTGACCAGCTGGATGCCACAGCACCAGCCACGCCCGTGCCACTCACCGTTCTAAAATGTGATTGTTCTCAGCCAGCTCCTTAACCACGCCTTCCATCTCTTCCTTTAGTTTCTTCATACTAGAGGGATAAAGCAGAGATGTCCAAACCCTTAGCATTACATCCGCATCGTCTTAGTTTTATAATCTAAGAGGCCATGACAGAACACTAAGCACAGTCAACATCAAGAATTTTGAAGTATGAGAATAAGATTTCAACCTGGGCCGAGTGAGTGGCCCCGCCCCAATCCCAGCGCAGCCGCTTACCCGAGAGTCATCTCCACTAAAGTGCTAGAACTGGGGTAAACAGGGGCCATGGCGTGCTTGACCCCACTCGAGGCTGCAAGTATCTTCTGAGGCAGAGTTTCTTGTAACTACAACATAAAGCAAATGTGTCACCAGGCAAGGCACAAGGGCCACTTAGAGCTTCAGCAAGGCTGGCCGGATCCCCCATGCCCACTCCACAGGGGCGTGGGAACCCTCGTGCACTCAGGGTAGGTGCTTAACCACTGGTCTGTGCTTGAGCCCACCTTTTAAGTTCCTGTTTTGAACTATCAGTACTAAGTACTGCAGTCAACACCCCCAAAACAATTTTCCTTCCAAACGATAAGATGAACAATCAGGTGTTTTTAACTGTCCTACATCTAAGAGGCAGAAATGAACAATGGTCCGGCCAGTGAGATCTGCAGGAGTGTGGATGCCTGCTGCCGGGCCAACCCACCTGAGCCCCGCCCTGGAGCCCACACGGGGGAGAAGCGATCCCCTCCCCGAAGTTGTCCTCTGGCATGCACACGCGCGCACACAGACACAGACAGACAGACAGACACACACACACATAATGTCCCACGTGTCCTGCAACCATTGTCAGCATCACACTGCCGTAGCCCTGCCACACAGAAGAGCTCTTTCCCACGCACCCGCGGGCCGCACCTTGTTAGCATAGTCTTGATATTTGGACACTTCCTCTTCGATGTCAAAGCACTGACTGTTTAGAGATAACAGCTGCTTCCTGAGGAGATGCATCTTCCTGGAAACCAAGGGACAGTCTGTTAGGGAGCAGCCTCCTGGGACTCACTTAAACACGGAACACACTGCACGGCACTGCACAGCCCACCACCTGCCACCACTGCAGCCTCCTTACCGCATCCACTCGTCCGCCGTATCCAGGAACGCTTCATACTTTTTAACACACTCTTCTGTGAAGTGGGCCATTGCTTTTGTTGCATGGTGATACAGTTTTTGTCTGCAAATTAGAAAGAAGCAGAGGCTTCCACAACCCTCCTATTTCTACTCCAGTTAAAAACATTTCAAGCTAGACGTGTTGGTGCATGGCTTTCAGCCCAGCACTCGGGAGGCAGAGACGGGGGATCTCTAAGTTCGAGGCCAGCCTGGTCTACAGAGGGAGTTCCAGGACAGCCAGGGCTACACAGGAAACCCTGTCTCAAAGAACAAAACAAAATAACCCACTAAAATACGTGGAACCTGGTTTTATTCTGTGGATCTGAGCTGGGGCACAGGTGGCTGGAGCCACCTGGCACGGTTGTTATGCTCTGAGCTCAGCTCCTCTGGAAGAGCAGCCAGCGCTCTTAACCATCTCCAGCCCCAAATGCCTATTGGTGGAGTTAGTTAGGATGGCTGAGTTGGCTCATGATTCCTCCTCGCTGCCCTCTGTAAGCACAGTGGAGGCACAGGAAGCTGAGTGAGCAGAACTGGGCCTTTTTCCAGCCATTCTGTCTCAGGGATCTCCCAAGCAGGACAGATGAGTGGGCTTGAACAATGTGCATCCACGTGGACTGTAATCAATACCAACTTTAAGAAGAATTAAAGATATAAAAAACTAGCATCAAGAAGACTCTATTTTAACTCTGCCTGGATACTTACTTATCAAATTTGTGGATCTGTTCTTCGTTATAAGCTAGTCCTGAAAATGGAAAACGTATACTTTTGTTAATGTAGAGTTGAACATCATACCTGCTATTCTCTCCTTTGAGATTACTGCTCCAAAAAAGGCTAAGAGTTTGACAGGGGTATAAAAGGTTTGGGGCCCAAGGACTACATAAGGCCCTACAATACTTTAGTCAGTATGAAGTTATGATTTAAAAATAAAAATTAACTGTCAACATTTAAGTCAGGACATTTTTAATAAAGCTCACGACTCTGGTTTCCTTTAAAAAGGGAGGCCTGGGCAACCTAGGGGACATAGCAGGGCTCCCATTTCAGAGAGGGCAGGCCCACCAGGCAGGCATTCCCTTGTGCTTCTTGCCTGGCCTCCCGAAGATCTAGGGTTCGTGACCTTAATTCAAGGATTGCAAAAGGCTTGTTTGACAATAAATTTTAGTACATCAATCTTTTCCCTGACATCTCATAAGTAGTGCACTTAAGTAGACAGTGTGGTGAGGTGAGGCAGCTGCCCCACGCTCACCAAGCTGGTGCAGGAGATGAGCGAAACAGCAAAGGTTACCTACTCCGTTCTGCCTTGTCTTTTTTGAACTGATAGTAAATCTCCGTGATGCAATTCAACAGGACTTGCAGTTTTTCCACACTATGCAAGGAAGAACAACCCAGGTAAGCTATTGATATTGATACAACAAAGAACAGTTAACAGGGACAGACACTGGCCCCAAGGCTGAAACCTACTTTCTGTCTCCTGGACGAGTGCCTTCCTGATGCACCCAGGTGTCAGCCAGCTGGCCCCCAGGAGACAACCTGCTGTTGATGTCCTGAAGACTGCTTTCTATGGTTCCCTGAGAACTGGAAAGCTAAAGACAACAGAGGTTAGCTGAGAACACCCAACCAGGTGAGAACGATTGTCCGTCGTGCGGGCTCCAAGGGTCTCTGCTGTGGTTCTGTTTGTCCGTCATGAGGGTCTCTGCTGTGGTTTTCTGTTTTCAGGTGAGGCTGACCCTGCTCTCCCTACCTCTCAGCTCACTGCTGCCGGGACACCCACAAAACCCTTTTAATTACTGGAGTTTGTTACTGTTTGTGGGTGGCAGGGGTGTGCTATTTTAGAATTAGAATTTCTATCCTAGGCATTCACTCAAGCCAATGAGCTCCATCTCCTTTCCTAGTTTCTGAATCCTAACTTTTTCAGGGTTTTAAATATCATTTAAGTGCATAGACAAGTGGAAGTTTTATTCATGTGACAGAGACTTGTAATATGTGATGTGTTCTGACATTTTCTGTTGGGCACTGATGTTGCTCCTTCTGGAGTCCATCCTCTCCTTGGCTAATGGCCTCTTGGGCAAAGAACTGCCCAACCTCCATTGCTGACTTTGGACATGCTACCCTACTGTGCTTGCAGGAGACAAACTTAGAAGACTGCTGATCCTTGCCAAGTCAGGGTAAGACTTGGTCAGTCAGACACTCTAGGCCTTAGCCAAAGCTGGCTGCCCCTACGCTGCTGTGAGACCTTGGGTGACTGTCCAGGTAGCCTGCTGTTCCTGTCTTCCCTGCACCTTTTGGAAGCTGCTCACCTGCACTTCCTGCCTGCCCTAGTATTGTTATCTTCCTTCTCAGGTCTTTGATGAGGTTGAAGATTAGACTGCCACTATTACTGCTCTCTCTTCCCAAATAGAAATATTAGGTACAAAACTTAAACTTTCCAGAACAGGACACCTCCACAGTGACCTCTGTTATGCCTTCACCCTAGGACTGGATATGCAGTTCTTGCCATTTGCTCTTGTTACCTCACTGGCGATAGGTCTTAAGTGTGTATGATCTTACTTTTCCCTCTCCTAAGAGCATCCTGGATATTTGCTATCTTTGTATATAGTCTTGTACCAAGCCTAAATCTTTTCTTTAGACTAAAAGGGGAATTGCAGTGAGATGTCCGCCCTGCCTGCACCTGTTGCACTGACCACGCCCATTGGGGCGTGGGCACAGGTGTGGATGTGTCAGGGGAAGCTATGTCGGGGGTCCTGGACCCCAGCTCGATCTCATACTTCCTGGTCTGGTTGCAGAGAGCACCTGGGTGGGATCCTTGGAGCGGAAACCTGGGGCAGTCATCTGTTTCAGGTGTAAGTGATTTCTCTCTGAATAAACATAATTCAATGTATAGAGTCCCAGTGATCTTATTTCCCACGTGATAGTGTGCCACACCACACTGCTGCTGGGTATGGAGCTCAGGTCCTACCATCCAGGCCATCCAACCCTCCACCCTCAGATTTCCTTAATTAAAAAATATTTTGAAGTTACATTTTCTTTCTTTGTGTCTATGTGAATGGGTGCACACATGGCATGGCGGGGTATGTGTGGCGGTCAGATACTTTATGCAGCTGGTATTCTTTCATTAGGAGGATTCTGGGAATTGCCTCAAAGCGTTAGGCTAGACAAGTGTCCTTCTATTATCCCTTACATTCTAACGTCCATCTTAAGAATTCCTTAATGTTATAGGCTTGCTCTGTACAGAGCTCTGCCTTTATTTCACTGCTACAGCAACACAGGAGATTTAGAAAAAGGAGCTGCCACTTTTGAGACAGAGAAACCAAAGCTACAAAGAACTACTAGAGGCCTTGTGACAGCTGGAGAGATGGCTCAGCGGTTGCAGAACCTCCTGTTCCTCCAGAGGCCCTGCACCCACGTCAGGAGGCTCACAACTGCCTGCAACTCCAGCTCCAAGGGACTCAAGGCAGGGACGCCTGCACACACACGCACAGGGCAACACATATAAACACACAAGCTGTCAATAATCTCGAAAGCCCATCAGGAGTGTCTGGGTAAACAGAGGCCGCCCTTGAGGAGGTTACCAGTTCCCACAGGACACAGCTGTGTGGACTTCTCCCACTTTGTGTTCAGCAAACCTGTGTCTTTACTGCCTTTTCTAGTTACAGAAATAACCCACTGCCTGAGCACTCCCAATCCATTCCTTTCTAAAGAGCTCTGATGTTTCCGGATTTGCAGTTATTTCTAAACAAGTGTAAGCACCAGGATTTGACTGCACGTTAAAGAGCCACATTATGAACGTTCATTATTACACAACAGCATCAAGGATTAAAAACAAAGCAAACACACACACACACACACACACACACACACACACACACGCGCGCGCGCGCGCGCAGGAAATGTAGGGTGCAAGAGACAAGATTCAGCTGTGTGTTCAAAATACAGAGAGCATTTGGAAATAGAACAAAGAACTGAATGGCAGAAATGGTGAGTATGTATGCATATCCAAGAATATATATAGAATAAAATGTAATTGTATATCTTATATACTGCTAAGAATACATATTGAATAAGACATAATCATCTAACACACACACACTGAAAGCGAGAAAAGCAGCTTCTTCTGCACACAGGGTTAGAAGCTCCACTGTTCTCAGGAAGTTCACACTAGCTCTGGCCAGTAAAGGCACAGGTCATGGCCCACCCTGTAACTCTCACGATCTACCGGTACTTACTCTCAACAATTTGGTATGTATGTCTGAAATTTCACCCAACTCTGCTGTTTCTAGGTTGACTTTCATCAACTTTTCATATCTGTATGAAAAACATATAATCAGAAAACAAACGAATGAGTGTAACAAATACAGATTTTTAGAAATAGTTTATGAAGTGAATTTTGCTATTATAATCATTTAATAAAAAATTTACTCAAGGTCTAAATGGCACGAGATGCTAAGAACCCTCTGCCGCCTTCCTAAGAAGGCGGTGATGCTACCCGATGTCCATCGTTTTTGTCTCAGGTGGCTCCAGGTGCCAGAACTCAATGGTGGTCAGAGAATATTTCCTATATTTTAAGTTTCATGTCATTCTGAGAGTATGACGAAGTCTCATGGTAGTCACCCCTTCCAGCCTAGGACAGACCCTGCCCCTCTGTCCTATGGGTCCACACTGTACATGCCGTCCACCCCATAGTTACTCAGTTGTGATCTCAGTCATACGATAAACTGTCAAGGAATAGCTTCGACATCATGCCTTGACACTATCTGCGTTTCTGCTGGGAACCGGGAACGCACGCACTGAGTCAGCACACACTGTACTTCCATTATAAATGTGCAGATTAGGATAGCGTAGAGAAGGAAGTTCATTTCAAATCACATTATGCCAGGACAATGGTGAAAATACCAGATTTTAGCACGATACATGTCTGATATAAATGTACACTTCAGCTATACACATTGACTGCACTTATTATATTTTCCCTGAAGTACAATAGTGTATTCTGAAAGGTCATTTAAATGATCACTGTTACAGAATACATTCTCTGAATAATAGGAAATTAAAAGTCACTGCTAAAATTCTGTAGCTTTTTCTAACTTGTGTGTGTGAGTGTGCACGTGTGTGGTGGCATGTGTGTGCGTGTGAGCGTGTGCACAAATGGGGTGTGCTGCATATACCACAGCATGCATGTGGAGGTCAGAGCAAACTGTGAAGCTGGTTCTCCCCAGCCCTGTTCTGGTGGGGGCTCAGGGTACCACACTTGAGCAGAGGGCACCTTTTCCCAGTCAGCATTCTCAGTGGCACCCCAAAAGTTGTTCCTAAAATTAAAAAAACAAAAACAACAAAAACTACGCAGAGGCTGCCCCAGCTGCCGCTTACTCTCTTAGTTGATGGAGGTTTATACTTCCTGTTCAGCTCTGCCTCCATGATAGGCAGGAGGAGGCCCCACCCCCCACTGCCTCTAAAGCCACTCAGAAAAGGTGGGGGAAATGCCATCAAAATGAGGGCGCTGAGTCCCTGCTGGGAGGGAGCAGCCACTAACCCAGGGCTGTGCCCGCCATGCCCCGCCCGTGCCGGAGATAATTAAGACAGGGCTCAGTCCCTGCCAGGGCGTTATCTACTCACACTTTCACAGTCTTTTCAATGTTTCTGATGCAGAAATCCAACGTGATCACAACTTCTGTCTTCTTGTGAACAGTTTCATTGTAATCATCCTTAACCAATTCACTGAAAAATGTTACTGCATTAGTTAAGTATTATTTTTGGGCTATCACTAATTATACTGAAATTCTACTTCAAACATATTTCATAAATTTTAAATGCCAAATCACATTTTTTTAGGGTACTATTAAAAGCATATCTGTGCCAAGCAGGCTGAGCCAGCCTGTTACCCTCGTGTAGTCGGTTCAATTAAAAAAAATAAAAGAGCAAGAGCATTTGTGTGACTCTTACACATCTGGGGCATTTATACTTCACAGACTATCACCAGTAATTAGGTTAAAGTTAGAAACCTATGGCATTAAAATTACATTAAGGATCAAAAACTAATCTATAATCATACAAATAAGTTATGTAACGTTTGTTACATATAATGTTTATGCTACTTACAGCAGCATGTGTGATCTCTGAAGAGGACAGCCCTGTGAATAACCCTAATGGAAGGGCTTTTGGACTACAGCGGTCAGCAAACAAGGCCTGAAGTCTGTTTTTTATGGCCTATGATTACTTCAGAGAGATTGAAAGAAAAGACAAAGAAGACAGCACACTGAAGGATGCTTTAAAAGAAAAGCTCACACTTTTTCATGGGGCACAAGACAAAAGTTTTTAAAACTTAAACTATAGTAAGTAAATCTAATAGAAACCACGGACCCACTGACCAGTAACAGGAAAACAGGAAAAACAAATGCTCTTTGTATTTGGCACATTTAGATTTCTGCTAGATATGCCAAGAACCAGTTCTGCCACTTAAGCCACCCCTGCAGCCGCTAAACCACCCCTGCAAAAATCTTCCTGGTGGAGGCAGAAAACCAGGCATGGAAAGGGAGGCTATGACCACGCTGAAAGTTGTCACATGCACAGGGTTGTGTGGTTTGTTTGACACAACACTAGCCACAGGAGAGAAACCTAAAACACTAAGAGCCAGCTGAGTGTGAGGCGGAGGCAGGAAGACGGTGAGTGAGCCCAGGAAAGCAACCCCTGGTGTCTGTACTGCACACCTGCCGGGTGCGGTCAACACCCGATGTGCACAGCCAGGGCACGGCTTTCAAAGGAGACGCCTGATCTCTAACCAGATGGAAAGATGGCCTTCATGAACCACAGAAGGGTTAAAAAACCATGGGCACGTGTGCGATGTGACTGTGTGTGGTGTGTGACTGTGTGTGTGTGTGACTCTGTGTGACTGCATGTGTGTGTGCGCGTGTGTGGTATGTGATTGTGTGTGTGTGACTGCATGTGTGTGTGTGTGACTGCATGTGTGTGTGTGTGACTGTGTGTGTGTGGTGTGTGACTGTGTGTGTGTGTGTGTGTGTGTGTGTGTTAGCATGGAAGTCAGGGGTCAACCACGGGCTTTCCTCGAGAGCCACCAACCTTTCTTTTTTCAAAAGCGTCTCCCTCTGAGACCTGGAACTTGCCAATCGGGCTAGCTGGCCAGCAAGGCTGAGGGACCCACCCATCCCCGCCTTCTTGGTGGTTGGTGTGAGTCACAAGCCTGTGACACTGTGCCTCCACCTCCTTTGTTTAAAAAAAAAAAAAAAATGGGTTCCAGGGTTGAACTCAAGTCTTAATTCTTGGAAAGTGAGTACTTCACCATCTAAACTACATCTGTAACCTAACCTGTATTTCTTAAGGTAATTTTCAGAAAAAGAATACTTCATTAGATTAATTTTGTTTTAGAGTAACTATACTAAACAATTAGTAAAACAAATCTTTAAACCGCTTGTCGAGATGAGTATGTGTGCATATGTGTACTCCCACGTACGGCAATGTCTACTATAGGCGAATCTATGGCGATTGGTGACGGACAAGGTTGGGGGTGGTGGAGTAAGAGCTTCTGGGCACAGGACTTCTGAGTGACAAAATGGTCTAAACTTGGTAGCAATGGTGCATAATTCTGTGCAACACTGAAACCCCTAACTTGTACATTTTAAATGCACAAGTTATCTAGTGTATACATTATAGCCCAATAACTCTGTTAGAAAGGAGAATGTGTAAAAGACAGGACATGAGCTTAGTTAGTCCCTGGAAAAGAGACTGCTTTAAGTACGTCAATGTCACGGTCCCTGAAAGACGATACACCGAGCTGCGCGGAGTTAAAACTCAGACTGTTTATCCCGGACGGCTGACTAGGTTACTGAAGGGAATCAACAGAACTGGTGCCGACCGCTGTGCAAACCGAATGTGAAGTGAAGGTACAGCAAAGCCAGGCTGCGGCCGGAACTGCTGCGGTGGCGGACGGTCAGAAGTCACTGATGCGGTGATGGCCCCTGGCTTCGTGAGGTCAGTGGGAAGAAGGCTTCAGGTTACAGTCTGTTACTTACATCAACCACCGTATCCCCTTTCGCATTAATTCCTGATAGAGTAGCAAGGTACTGGCAATTCTACAGGTGTAACACACAACCCCAGTCACTGCCTGGTGGGAGAGAAAGGCAGTGTTTGGTGTTAACTGTGGACAAGGTAAGAGAAACTTCTACACAAAAGCAGGCAGGCTGTCATTTTTCTATCAGGTAAATAAATTACCACCGTCTAAAAGCTACACAGATATAACGAACAAATATTTCAGTTCTTGACATTATATAAACATGCTTTAATGGAGAGAATTTCCTCCTACTGAGTTCAACAGAGGAAACTAGGATGTAAAACAACGTGGAAAGGATAATACTTTAAACATTTTCCTAAGTCACACAGACACACAATATGTTTCTTACTTCCACTACTGATAATTCAGTGAAATACTAACCTTGGCCATGCTAGCATCACCATCTAAGTCATAGCGTGGGTGTACTTTGGGTAGGGCAACTGGAATATGAAGTAAAAGACTTAGAATTAGAAACAGGAATGTTTGGATTAAACACATGAGAGACAACCCTCTCAGGTGCTTTTTGTAGCTTTAAAAGAAAGGCTGGGAAGGCGACTCAGTGTGTAGGAGAACTTGATTTACAACTGTGAGGCCTAAATTCAGATCCAGCCCCCATGTAAAAAGCTCGGAGTGGCTGGTTGTGCCTGTGACCCTTAGTACTGAGCAGGTGGAGACTGGCAGATCCCCAGAGTTTGCTGGCCAGCCCAGCACAGCTGAAGACAAAACAAAACAGACAGGTCCACGTTCAGTGGGAGACCTTGACTCAAGGGTACAGAGTGAGACATCCAGCATCCTCCTCTGGCCTGCCAGCACGTGGCGCATTGGTGCACGCACGCGCGCACGCACGCACACGCACAGCACCTCCATGCCAGCTAGAGACGGTGCTCATCCCCTAACGGCCACCTGCAGTATTTGTGAAGTGTCTCGGTTCTTCCTCGTTATTATGTGCGCCCATGTTATGGCAGAGAACAACTTCATGGATCCGGTTCTCTCCTTCCATTTTCACCCGGCCCTGGGATTGAACTTAGGTACCAGGCTCCCATGAAATGCACCTTTACCCACTGAGCTATCTTGCCAGCTCATTTTTTAAAAAAGAGATTTACTTATTTATTATGCATACAGTGTTCTGACTGCATGTGCACCTCTGTGCCAGAAGAGGGCGCCAGATTTCATTACAGATGGCTGTGAGCCACCATGTGGGTGCTGGAATTGAACTCAGGACCTTTGCAAGAGCAGCCAGTGCTCTGAACCTCTGAACCGTCTCTCCAGCCCAAAGCTTCATTTTTTTTTTTTGTTAAACATATTCTAACACAATGAACTCCATGTTGTCTTTTAATTTAAATTTAACACTGAAGTCTCAAAATGGATGCAAAATTCTGGGTCATATTTTTTCCCTAATACTAGGACAATTAATTTAAAACATTTCAAACATCTGATTTTTTCTTAAGTTTTAAGAATGGCAGAATGTCCTACATATACTGGATAGAATAAATATTTGTTGTATTTACTGTCACTAAAATAAGTGACAGTAAGACATGGCAAACTATCACTTCACAATATAAAATACTGAAGTAAAATAGAAAAATTATGAGGTTTTTCAATTCTGTAATCTTTATAAACTAATTTATGACAGTTTAATATTTATAGAAAGTTTTACATTAAAATAAATTATCAACTTTATAAAAATGAGCACCAGTTTTACAGTAACAGATGTTTGTGTTTAATGGCCACTAAAAACATGACAAAAGGTCACAACTTACTTTGTTCATATATCAGTCCTACAGTACTTAGGGGTTCCTGGCTTATGACAAAGATAGGGTTTTCCTCTGTGGTTTTAGGAAAATGCTGGGCTAGTCTTCCAACTTCTAGGACTAAGCGTCGTCCCTCGTAGATAAGTTCTTGATTTGAAGAAATAATTTTGGTTTGCTTATAGACCAGTTCATGGAACACAGCAGCCCTGTGTGGGGGAAGTTAAGACGGGATGATAGATGTTGGAGGGAATGAGCGGTCATACTTGAATGTGCAGCAACCATTCATGCACGTGTTCTAACAGTTCTTCTTAGCACCCGCTCGTTCATAACAAGGACACAAACATGAACTCAGATGGAAGTGCAGCATACCCTGACCCTGCCATGTCGCTTAATGTTGGAGAGTAAGTGGCATAAATATTCAGAGCCATGGACAGGGCCTGAAACACAACTACAAAACCTCTGCCACACACACAAAGAGACCAGAGAGAGCGCTTGCAAAATGATGGTCCAGGGGAAAGGGCAAATTCGCCGTGCACAGGCGCACAGGCCCACAGGAGTGAAGAAAGCCAGCAAGTGAATGGCTCTGCCTGAAGCTGCTATGTGACTGGGCTCAGGCTCGGACGCTATTTTAGGCTCAAGTGGATGTGCAGTAACAATGACATCAATGGACTCAGGCTGTGGAGAACCAAAATATGACAAAAATGACCTAAGGTTACATTAGTGTTGCTATATTTGCATTTTGCTTATGTTGTATTGGCTCTGATTATTAGATTATTAATATCTAAATACTTTGTGTAAACTATCCTCTCTCTTTTCCGTGTCTGGCACTTGTGGTTGAAGGCAGGGCCTCGGGTATGTTAAGCAGAGTCAACTGCACCTCAACCCTCTTTTCACTGCGTTAAAATAAAAAGTTCCTGTTAATTTGTTTAAAGATTTTTCTTGTATGTGTATGGGTGTTTTGCTCACATGTGTGTCTGTGCACCATAGACATGTCTGCTACACTGGCAGAGGCCAGTGAGGCCATCAAATCCCCTGAATTAAGGATCCTAGACAACTGTGAGCCATCGTGTGGTCCTCCTCGGTGCTCTTAACCACTGAGCCAACTCCAGACCCCTTTTACAGATTTTATGAGACAGCAAAACCATTATATAACTTTTGTTGAACAGATTCAGATTAAGACACAAAGTCATTTTTTTGTGGGGGCAGGGGCTGTTTCTTGAGGCTGAGTATCACTAGGTGGCACTGGCTGGCCCAGAACTCTCCATGTGGAGCAGGCTGGCTTTGAATTTGTGGCGATCTTCCCGTCCACATCTCCCAACCGCATCAGCACACACAGCCACTTTGTCATCCCTCAGACACTTCTCTCTGCTCAGGTAGATGTTTATAGCTCCACCCAGTTTCTCTCTCTCAACGTAGCACCGTGCAACATTGTGAACTGTCACCGCAATATATTAACTTTGATACAATTTATCTAACTCCTTCTCCAGTTTTATACTCAGGTGAATATTTAGTCATATGTAGTCTTATTGTGTAAGTTTTTTTTAATATCACCTGGTATTTTTTTTTTACTATGCAAAACAAATGCTATTCTTCAGTATCCATAAGGTTTTCTTGCTAATTATATAAATTTAGAAACTCCACTACATTTTGTCTTATTTTGTTTTGGAGACAGGGATTCTCTGTGTAGCCCTGGCTGTCCTGGAACTCGCTCTGTAGACCAGGCTGGGCTTGAACTCACAGAGATCCCCCTGCCTCTGCCTCCCGAGTGCCACTGCCGTCCAGCTACACTTCTGTTTTTAAAGAGGGTATATTTTCAATAAAACAGATTATATTTTTACCAACCAATACATAGTTCTTGAAAGAAGTCATAGAATCGGCTCTGTCAAACTTGCAGTTTAAGATACAGTAACTTACCTATGTATTTAAGAAAATTCTTTTTACTTTGGATAAGTGATGAGGAATTCACTAAGCATTTACACAGTTTTCCCACGGAGACATGGGTGCTGCTGATAAAGGCAGGACATCTTTTCCATTTGCTCTCCTGGTTGAGGAGATGCTTATCGCATTACAGGATGCACAGACAGGAAGAACACAGAGGACTTACGTATTGTAGCTATGGATATAAATCTTATGTGCTGTCATCTGCTGTAGTGAGAACACGTGGATTACCATCCGATGAAGCACGTCACTAGTCTCTGCAAAGAACTGGTCAAAACCCCAGCACTTCTCCTGATCGGCTTCCAGGATGTTGGCAAGGACTGGAGTAAGCAGTGTCTGAAGGCCCCTAAAACAGTTTTTACAGAGTTACTTGGAGAGAGCCTCAACAGCTACAAAGAAAGCACAAATCAAAGGAATCGCATGGTGGCTTGACTAAGAATGGCCCCGCAGGCTCATGCACTTGAATTCCTAGTCATTACTGCTTTGTGTTCCCTCCCTGCCTTCTACCCTGATTGACACACAGGGAGAAGGAAGGTTACCTCTCTTTCTGTCTCACTTCACCCATTCTGGTTAGTGGTTTTTACTGCTCCCTTGTACAAACAGAAAAACACCTCTCAAGCCTGGTAATTTTGGTGAGAGACGTCTATGCTAAAAGCTGCTGTGGATGAGGTTTGCTTCATTACAGAAATAAGTCGTGTCTGTCTGTAGCTCAGACCACGACATCACTGACCCAGTAATGACATCACTGGCCTAGTGATATAACAGTTAACCAGCACAGGGCCCATTTTCATTGCACCAGATTTCCCTGAGGTCTCCTGAGTGTAAATTTCCTAAACAGATCATAAATAGCTCTCCAACATTTCTTTTGGCAAATCTAGTTACAGAGCATAAGTTTACTTTCAGAAAATGTTTTCCTAAACAGTAAGAAAATGAAACTGAGGGTCGTGTTGCTATTGCCTGCCCCCTTCCTGCCCTGGAGTTGGGGGGTGGGGTGGTTGAGCCAGAGTCTCACTGTATAGTTCAGTATGTAGCCCAGGATGGTGGATCCTCCTGCCTCCCCAATGCTGGGGTCACTGACAGAAATGACCACCTGGCCTTTTCAGTTAGTTTTTTGAGTCTATGCTGCTCTGGTCATCCTAGCATTAGTTAGCCTAGGCTAGCCTTGAACCCGTGGTGATTCTTCTATTTCTGCTTCCTGAGTGCTGGTTTTAGAGGTGTGTCACCACCATGCCCAGCTACTCTCAATCTGACTATAATTAGTCCTTTCTTTGTGATAATATGACAATATAATTTTTTAGAGTTCTGACTTCTAAATTAAGTAAGTCTCTGTCAACATTTGAAATGCTGGAAAAAGTAGTAGGAATGCTTATATTTTTCTTTTTGGTATTTTTTTGAGAGCTACACTATACAGCTCAGGATGCCCTGGAACTCACAAAGATCCCCTTGCCTCTGCCTCCTGAGTGCTGGCATTAAAGGCGTGCACCACTATGCCCAAACTAGAAATACTTATTTTTCATTCTTTGAATAACCTAAATACTTTATGAAAATAAGGAGACTATTATTATTAAACTTGGTAGTGTTGTTTTGTTTTGTTTTTCCAATTTTGATTTTTCAAGACAGGGTCTCTCTGTGTAGCCCTGGCTGTCCTGGAACTCACTCTGTAGACCAGGCTGGTCTTGAACTCACACAGACCCACCTGCCTCTGCCTCCTAAAGGCCTTAGCCACTACCAAGTGTGCCACCCCTGCCAGGAAAAACTTATTCCTGGTTACATCACTATTCTGTGGTCCATCAGTATGAAAGTCCTTAGTAGGAGTCCTACATTGAAAAGAATTTCAAGACAAGAGAGGACAAATCTTAAGAACACGTGCTCTCTATCCTCAGGAAATTATCTGGAAAGCCTGGAATGTTTACATCACCCCAAATGCAAAAACAAAAAACAAACAAACAAAAAATCACCCAAAAAGCACATGGTTCAATTTATCAAAATAAAACTGCACTAAAAAGTTATCCGTGGTGGCCCATGTCTGTTATCCCTGCACGTGGGACGCAAAGGCAGGAGGATTATCAGCCTGGGCTATATGCTGAGTTCAAGGCTAGCCTGGGCTACATAGCAAGACCCTGCTTCAAAAACAAACCAAACCAAACAAACAAACAACCACAAACAACAAAGCCAGCCATGAAAATATGCTTAACTATTTGAATGTGCCTGTGAGTTTTAGGGAACAAAAGATTAAACACAAGCTGTCAATGGTTAAGAATTAGGTTCACTACACTTACCGAGAAAGACTACAAGAAACAGGCATGTCTCCACTCCAGTCAATTGGTCCATTTTCTGCTTTCTGTACTCCAGATATGGCACCAGAAGGCTTTCCAGTGATGATTTTATACCTTGGGAGGAACAGAAGAACAAGGTGAAGAGGCTTATTAGTGGACTTCACTGTTATAGTAGCAAATGGTGTTCCTGCCTTAAAAATGTATCTACAAAATTAGAAGTGTGTAACTGTCAGGTTCAACTTACATTTAATGAGGAAACAAAAGGAGACTTGGCCTTTGCTAAAGGAGGGTTTTAATACAAAGGGCACAGTTGTAAAGTAGGCTTGGGCTGACACTGTGACATCTTAGGGCAATTAGTGGAAGTCTTCTCCAATGTACAGACACACAGGGCGTGTTTCACAAGCATTGTGTGCAGATGTTCAAACTTTAGCAAAAGCATCGGACTATCTGAACTTGTTTTATCTACTTCCTTACATCAACAAAAGGAAAATGTGCTTCTTCCTGAGTTCTCTGAGATGAGATGAAAGGCTTTCCTTACATTGTGGCTACTTGAATCACACACACGTGGGAAAGGCGGGGGTGGGGGTCATGGGGCTGTGGCAGAATGGCCTTGATAATCCCTTTAAAATGAAGCGAAGCACAGATGCTGGCTGGCTCTTGTAATTTGACACAAACATAGACGTATCTGGGAAGAGGTAATAGTGTGTGTGTGTGTGTGTTTTGAGACAAAGTTTCTTGGTGTAGCTTTGGAGTCTGTAGACCAGGCTGGCCTGGAACTCACAGAGATCCGCCTGCCTCTGCTTCCCTGCCTTTGCTGGGATTAAAGATGTGCACCACCAACGCCTGGCAGGAAGAGGAAATCTTAACTGAGAAAGAAAATGCCTTTCTGCAACACTGGCCTACAGGCAAACCTGTAAGGCATTTTCTTGATTAATAAGGGAGGGTTTAGCCCACTGTGGGTGCTGTCAACCCTGGGTGAGTGGTCCTAAATGGTTAAGAAAACAGGCTGAGCAAGTCACGAGGAGAAAGGCAGTGAGCAGCACCGTCCATGACCTCCGCATCAGCTCCTGTCTCCAGGATCCTGCCTGGAGTTGCTGCCCCAGTCAGGGATGAAGGACTACAACTTAAAGATGAAACAAACCGTTTCTTCCCCAAGCTCCTTTTGGTCCTTTATCACAGCAATAGAGACGCTAACACACACAGTGTACAGTGAATTACATAATAAATTTCCCTCCAGAAATTTTGTTATCTTTTCCTTGATTTTTTTTTTTTTTTTTGGTTTACTATTAGTGACTTTGTGCATTGTTCATTTCTCCAACAGCATGACAGCATATGAATACATATGGTATGGGCTGGAGAGATGGCTCAGAGGTTAGGAGCCCTGGCTGCTCTTCCAGAGGACCCGTGTTCAATTCCCAGCACCCATATGGCAACTCAGAACTGTCCGTAACTGCAGTTCCAGGGTCTCTGACAACCTCACACAGACATACATGCAGGGAACACCAATGCATGTGAAGTTAAAAAAATCAATTAAGAAGTTTCCTTGATTCTATTTCTCTACAGAATTATATTGGTATTATTATATTTTTTCCTGCTGCATGGAGAAAAAGTGACAAGCACACAAAGTGGAATAAGAAACAAATGTGCCTAAGGAAAACTCAGAAGACATGTATGTAACAATGAACCCAAGACTAGATACTTACTTATACTTTGTAGACATTTAAATATGATTTGGAAAACTGGGCTAACAGTCTTAGCTGCATTCTTAGTAAAATCTAGGTAGCATGGAGTATCAGAAAAAGACAATTTCTATCCATTCCCTCAAACATGGAGAAAGAAGCTAATATACACTGAAGGGCTGCTTCTCCCTCCAGGCGGAGAAAGCACTTACATCACTTCTTTATTCCTCCGAGGCCCCTCAAACGGTCTGAACGGCAGGGACCCAGTAGCTGCATGGTAAAACGTTACTCCAATACTCCACAGGTCAACTGTAGCCCCGTACTTCTTCTGATGATCTTTTCTGAGTACTGCTCTCTCATACATGTCCGGGTGCTGAAACAGAAAACCTTAAGAACTTATGACTTAATATAAAACAACAAGACACTAGTGCTAACCGTGCCAGAAGCTCAAGGTCAGCCTGAGCCACATACTGAGGTTGAGACTGTCCTTTGTTATACTAGACCCTGACCCCCACAACACAAACAAAAAAGTTAATAAACCCTGGGCTGCAGGGATGGCTCAGTGGGTAGAGGTGCCTGTAACCAACCCGAGACCAGTATGGTGAAAGGAGACACACATGCAGACAAAACACCAACGCAAATAAATAGTTAAAAACAACCTGGTCTACAGAGCGAGTTCCAGGACAGCCAGGTGTTACAGAGAAACCCTGTCTCAGAAAACCAAAAAACCCAACAAAACCCCAAAACAAATCTACTGTATTAGTATATAGCTATAAAACAACCAAAGCTGCTGGCTTTTTTATTTTGAGACAGAGATTCATTACACAGCCCCAGATGACCTGGAATATTGTATGCAGTCTGGCTGGCCTTGAACTTGTACCCATCCTCTTGCTTCTGCCTCTCAAGTGCTGGGATCAAAGCTATGAGTTACCACAGCCAGGACAGCCTCAGACTGTCCAACCGGAAACGGCATCATACTTAGGAAGCAACCCTGATTCCCTGCTTCCACACCATAGTCATCTGAACAGAATACGGACTCTTTGTCATACTTATGCAATATTTGCAGACTTGTGAACATCCCTCGTAGCGCGCCTATCTTGCCATTCAAATGAGATGTCCAGTGAGACAGAGGGCGCGACTCACCAGATACTCCTCTGTGCCGTACAGAGACACAAACTGCTCGTCATCCTCGAGCTCTCTTGCGGCACCGAAGTCTGTGAGTTTGTACACGGACTGCCCATCTTCCCCTATGACACGCATGATGTTGCCCGGCTTGATGTCACGGTGCACGATGCCATTCTCTCTGAGGTGATTCATTCCACCCACTGTAACAGTAGACACAAAACACGGAGAGGCTCAGCCTAGGGCGAGCTTACCAAATGTTTGGAGCACTGAGGGTCTTGATTAAAAAGTCTTTTGCCATTTTCCCGTGTTTGGTTGGGGTATTTAAGAATGCTAAAGAATAAACTTGGGGCATTCAGTAAGTATTCACTGGATTGCCCTCCTGACTCTAAAAAAATAAAATAAACACAAAGCACAGGAAATTGTGATGGAGGTCTCTGTGTGTATACACATCTAAAATTCAGATATGATACATTCATACTCACTCTGACTTTAAGTACGAGTTGGCTCAACACCCTTTTATTCTAAGAAACACACCCCTCCCCTCTACAAACACCCACAAGCACGCACACACGCACACACACACACACACATACCCATGCACAAGTGTGCACATGTCCAATCTCAGGTTTCAACCACAAGCACGCACACACGCGCACACACACACACGCACACATGCACAAGTGTGCACATGTCCAATCTCAGGTTTCAAGCACAAGGAGGTTTAGATAGGAACTATGGCCTCCTCCCTATGCTGTCTCCGCTGCTAACTATTAGGAGAACGGAACAAGAGTCTTAAGGAGATTACTTCCTCAACTACTATTGGTGATAGAAACAGAGTAACAAAGATCCAAGAGTTTTATACTTTGTTGCTGTTTTGGTTGATTTGGAACTTGCTATAGAGCAGGCTGGCTTTGAATCACAGACCCTCTGACTGCTGAGATTAAAGGTTGCCACCACATCCAGTTCTTATTTTACAGTTACTTCCTTTGAGAAAAAAATAAACTGGCTTCAACACATAAATTGGTAAAGGAGTAGTAAAAGGAGGCCATATGTGGCCCTTGTTTCCATGGAGATGTGTTTATGATTAGTGCCAGTCAGTCTGTTTGTACAGACGTAAACTACACTGTGGGGCTGGCGGGCAGGGCCATCAGCGCGTGCTCTACCCTACCCTCCTCAAGCATTTCACTCACTTCTTCCCAAGAACGTATTCTTCACTTGTCTTTTAAAAAATAACAGGATAATTGAAATATGTTTGTGTGTGTAGATTTCGTATGACTTACCATTCATTTTTAAAAATACACATTCAATAATTTTTAATAGTTGTACAACTCTTGCCATTAACACCACAAGGTTTTAGTGATGGTGCTAATGAAAACTCTTTCTACCTGCTCAAAGCAGCTCTGTGGCCAGTAGCAGTGACCCTGAATGAGCCCTCTAAGCACAGTCAGTCCCGGGCTCTTTGTTTGTCCTAAGGACTGGCTGACATTTCTGTGAGTGGGACTACATGACACTGTGATAGTTTGTCTCCTGCTTCTGTCATTCCGTATTCTTTCAGAGTTCACCCACATTTTAGCATGTTTCAATTTTCCACTTTTCAATTAAGAAACATACTCACTTTTCTGTATGTTATGTGTCCTAGTTAGGATCTCTACTGCTGTGAAGAGACATCATGACCATGGCAACTTTTTTTTCCCCCAAGACAGGGTTTCTCTGTGGCTTTGGAGCTGTCCTGGAACTCGTTCTGTAGACCAGGCTGGTCTCAAACTCACAGAGATCCTGCCTGCTACCGCCCGGCCGACCAGGGCAACTCTTACAAAGCAAACTTTTTAAGTTCAGAGGTTCAGTCCCTGTCATCACGGTGGGGAGTGTGGCCATGTGCAGGCAGGTGTGATGCTGTCTGTATGTTGATCAGAAGGCGACAGGAAGAAGATTGTCACACTGACTCAAGCTTAAGCAAGAGACCTCAAAGCCTCCACAGTGACACACGTCCTCCGACAAGGCCACACCTCCCAACATTGCCAACCCTATGAGCTTACGGGGCCAATTACATAGTCACACTATGTTCTACTCCCTTAAACTTATAACTGTTTCATAATACAAAATGTATTTAGTCCTCCTAGTTTATGGCAGTCTCAACAATGTTGAAAAGTCCAAAGTCCAAAGTCTCTTCAGTGATTCATGCAATCTCTTAGTGCACTGCACTTTAAAATCACAGTCAGCTCATGGGTGCCAGTTACATGCAAATCACCACAGTATAGTGGTTAGCTTTTGCCGACTTGACACAAACTGGGGTCACATGGGAAGGAGCCTCACTTGGCTTCTGTCAGACTGACCTTTAGCCATGTCTGTGGTATTTTCTGATTGCCAAGTAATGTGGAAGGGCACAGGTCACCGTGGGCAGGGCCACCCTGGGGCAGGTGGTCCTGGGGAGTATAAGAAAAATAATGGAAACTAAGGCCAAGAGCAAGCCAGTCTGTAGCGTTCCTCAGCGGTCTGTGCTTCAGGAACTGCCCTGGCTTCCTCAGTGATGGACTGGGACAGACGTGTAAGCCAAACAAACCCTTTCCTCACTTCTGGTCATGTTTATCATAGCCACAAAAATCAAACTAGAACAGTAAGCACGTGGTGTGTGTGTGTGTGTGTGTGTGTGTGTGTGTGTGTGAGAGAGAGAGAGAGAGAGAGAGAAGCTGTGTATTGGGGGGGCAATGACAAGGTCTCATGTAATGCTGGCTTGTCTTGAACTTGACCTATAACAGAGGGCACCCTTGCACTGCTGATGCCTGTCTATCTCTGCCTCCCAAATGCTGGGAATACAAACTTACCCCATCACACGAGGCTTCATTTCTTTTCCATTATATGGAAATACAACATCTTAACCCATTTGTCAGCTGATGGATATTTGTGTTGTCCTGATTTTATTTACTGGCTATTATGAATAAAGCTACAACAAACACAGACATGTGAAATTTTATGTGGCTGTGTTATTAATTTTTTGGGTATGCCCGCTGGATTGCCACAGCATAGTTACTCTATACTAGTCTTTTGTAGAACTGCTGAACTATTTCCTAAGGGTAGTAGCACTTTACAACCGTTCAGCAGTGCATGGCAGGTCCCCCATCTCCACCTCCCAATGCCTGTTCTTGTTATCTGGATTACCACCTTACCATCTTCATGGTAAGAAGTGGCTTCACATTACAACGTCCTCAATGATTAATGATGTTGAGTACTGTTTAGTCCATCATTGGCCACCTGTGGCCACCTGTCTATCCTTCCTTCTTGACAAATGTCCGGTCAAATCTTTTGCAAATCTTAAAACTGTTTTGGATAGGGTGTCTGGACCAGGCATCTTACACGTGATCTATAGTCTTCTGGCCTATGGGTTCTCTTTTCAGTTACCATCTCAAATAAGCTGTGGCTTTTACATTTTTATTTATTTCAAGTATGGGTGTTCTGCCTGCATGCGTGTGTGCACCAAATGCATGCCTGGTGCCTGTGGAGGCGAGGTCAGGGCATTAGCTTCCCCGGAACTAGAGTTACTGATAGATGCTTGTGAGCTGCTGGGAACTGAACCTGGGTCCTCTAAAAGAGCAGCCAGCGATCTTAGTAGCTGAGCCGTCTCTCCAGCCCTGAAGTAAGTTTTAATGTGGATAAAGGCCAATTTACCTAACTTTTCTTTTAGGTACTTGTGCTTTTGGTGTGGTGCCTAAGAAAACACTGCATTAGAGTTTTTGTCTTGAATATAGGACATTAACTATTCATTCTACATCTTTAAATACCATATGAAACCATATAAATGAACACATATAAAACCATATAAATAAACATACCCACATCTCGTAAAACGATAAGAAATTCTGATTCTGGTAGTCCATAGGCATTGGATGGCTCCTCTAAAACAGTGTATAAACTCCCACAGGGACAAAATTCCATAATAAGTACTTTATGTCTTGTTGTTGTCTGGAAAAAAAAGTCACTGATTGAGTATCAGCGGGAAAGACATGAAAACAAATCTGTTTCCAGGGCAGCACTTGCCTGTCTGACCTCATTCAAGTGCAGGGTGTGCTGGAACAACAAAGTTACTTTGACTGAGGACTGATAAATGCCATGCTTATATAATAAACAGCTTCCAGTTTCTCTAAATGAGGTGGAGGGCTGGAGAGATGGCTCAGCAGTTACAAGCACTTGCTGGTCTTGCAGAACGGAGTTCAGCTCCCAGCACCTGCACCTGGTGGCTCACAGCAGCTCCACGGGGTCCACCACTGTATTTTGTGTGTCCCCCCCCCCCCAGGCACTGGAGCACATGTCAACATACACACATGAAAACTAAATCTTAAAATATAGGTATAGTATATAGTATATTATATATAAACTAAAGTGGAGTTTGTTTGGAAGACAAACCAGTGAAAACTAGCTAAATATGAGCCACAAGATCATGGTTGTACTGCTCAATGTTTTTGTTTAAATCATTTGGTTTCATTTGCATAACAATATATTTAGGAAAATCTTTTTCTTATGATAACTTCAAGGAATGAAGCTCTAGCCTTCAAAAGCAATGGGTGGGCTGGAGAGGGCTCAGTGGGTAAGAACACGCATGCACTGCTGTCCCAGAGACCTGGTCAGTGGGTAAGAACATGCACTGCTCTCCCAGAGGACCTGGTTCAGTTCCCATCCCTCTTGTCAGGCAGCTCATGCCTGCCTGCAATGGCCACTCCAGGGGATCTGATGCTGCCTTCTGGCTCACAAGGGTACCTGCATCAGTAACACACACACATACACTGAACTAAAAACAAAAATTTAAGGAAAGTGAAAAAAGAAGTAAAACTGGGTGGCAGAATAGTTGGGTTTCTCAGCAAAGTTCTGGTTTGCTCATTTCCATCTCAGCCAGTGAAAATATGTCATCAATACAGCAGCTTTATAAGGAAGAAGGAACCTCATAGGATTACATAATATACAGTGATACTATGATACATACCAATTTAAAAAATCTGCAATTTGGAATAAATCTTAAAATCTAGTACTAATTTTTGACTTTTGGTCCTTTAAAATTTTTTCAACCCAGCCCCCAAATACATCCATAATGTATTTTATTTTCTCTGTTCAGTAGTCATGAAAAGAGAAATAATTATAAAACAAAACAAAATCTATTGCTTTATATCATTCCCTGAACTGAGAGACCCATTCTTTAGCTTCTGCCTCCTGAGTACTGGGAGTAAACGTGTGTTGTCTCCACAACTTTCCCTTCTGGGAACAACTTATGGTACTTGAAATTTGTTTCAAAGAAGTGTTTTTGATCCAGGACTGCAGCTAATGGCTAATTATGTGATTCTTCTTTTCTTTTTAAAATTTAGATAAGGTACACAGTCCAGACTAGCTTCAAACTACCAGCAATCCTCATGTCTCAGCTTCCTGAGTGTTAAGATTACAGGTTTGGCCTCATGCCAGACAAGTTCTCACTGTATAGCCCAGGCTAGTCTTTAACCCCTGCTTTTCCTGAGTCATTCTCTTAAATGCTTGGATTGTAAGAGCATACCACTACACTCAGTTAGCAATGAGATTTTATGGAGGCTTTAAGACATAGTATGTATCCTGACTTGGAGAAGAAGTAGAGACCAAAGGTCCACTATGCAGCCATACATGATCCTAATCACAGCTCACTCAGGAGGCAGAGGCAGAGGATCTCTGTGAGTTCGAGGCCAGCCTGGTCTACAAAGAGAGTTCCAGGACAGGCTTCAAAACTACACAGGGAAACCTTGTCTCAAAACAAAACAAAACAAAACAAACAAACAAACAAAAAAAAAAACAAAACAAAAACCAACCAACCAACCAAATAAACAAACACAAAAGCCAAAACGAACAAAAACATCTCACACCAGATTTGGGTGGTTTTAGAGGGTAACTTGCTCATGTCAGCCCACCCTGCCATATTTATGCCTTTGGCTGTTTTAATTTGAATCTTTGTGCTATTATACAACAACAACAACAAAAAAAGAGAAACAGTACTTTTCTGAGTTTGCTGACCCACTATACATTCTAGCAAATTACCAAATACCTCTGAACCCCTGATACTTCTGGTCTTGGTTAAGTGGTGTTTGAACCCATTTTGCTAGCCCCTGCCTTCTGAATGGAACTACCACAACACAATGGCAAGCTTGGATCCTTACCTCCTCCTCAATAGCAAATAATTTGACAATGTTTTTGTGGTTGAGTTTTTTTAACACTTCAAACTCTCTCATTTGAACATCCACTGGGCGAAGGAAGCTTATGTTATTGAACACTTTGACAGCATATAAATCACCAGTTTTCTGAAAGATAAAGGAAGGGAGGAGTCAGTAACATGCTGTAGCAATGGGTCTTTGCAGTACACTGTGCATCTTTCAGACCAAGATCTGTGATCAGAGGGCCCAAACATAAAAATGGTGGAGGAGTTCAGAAGTCCCCGAAGGTCGCTGTTTCCGACATTACAAACAGAACTTACAAATGGTACGCTACTGGCAGACAGTCACCAGCGCAGGGGTCAAAAGGGAAACTCATGAAGAAAATGAAAGTGAAATCCCAAGGATTTGCCAGAGCCAAACATTTGCAATCAGAACAAAGAGGTGAAAAAGTACACTCTACCTACAGAACTGTTCGGGAACCTTTGTGGCTAGCTACGATGAGTGTTGGTAAGGAGGGGCCTGACAAGAGAGGTCAGAGACTCCCTGGCAGGCTGTGCCGGCGCAGGGTACAGTGGACTTCCTAGCTGGGTCACGCCATTGCTGCCCACACACCTAGACGTCGGGGTGGGAGGCTGTTTGTTCCTTCATCCCTGATGAAGCTCTAGAGGAGCAAGCATCTGCTGACATGCCCCAGTAACCCTCCAGACCTGCCCAGTGTTACCGTACTATCACAGCACACAACTACAGCTTTCTTTCTTTTTGTTTTGTTTTGTGTTTTTCGAGGCAGGGTTTCTCTGTGTACCTCTGGAGGCTGTCCTGGAACTTGCTCTGAGACCAGGCTGGACTTGAACTCACAGAGATCCACCTGCCTCTGCCTCCCGAGTGCTGGGACAACAACAGCTTTTTAGCAGTATAAAATTAACCTTACTCTAAACTCATCTAGACCTAACCCATTACCCTTCAATCCCCGGAACCAGCAAGCTTCACCCTAGCGGTGAATACCGGCCTTTTTTTCATTCAGCTTCACTTTCTCCCTATTTGTTCAAGGCTAGATTTCCTTAAAGCCAGTTCTTCATGGGGATCAAGCGTGGCCTGATTAAGGACACCCTAGTACCCTGAGTCAGACCTCACCTTTGGACCATGCTTCATCTTTCCACAGATCCAGTTGTCTTTTAAAACTATTTGCTGTTGTTAATAATCCCACCTCTCAATACCAACATCTGAACCATCTCTAAGTGACGCCTACTGCTCAAGTCACATCAAGTACAAAGAAACATATATTTCCTTGTAATTGTCTTAGAGTCAGTCTAACAGATTTTTTCCCCTTACATTTATTTACTTATTTTACCGTGTGTGTGTGTGTGTGTGTGTGTGTGTGTGTGTGTGTGTGTGTGTGATGGATGTGGGCACATGGGTAGAGGTCAGAGGGCGGTATGCAGCAGTCAGTTTTTCTTTCCACCACGTGTGACCTGAGAATCAAACTTCAGTTGTTACACTTGGTGGCGACTGCCTTGACTGCTGAGCCGTCTGCCAGTCCCAACGGGAGGTTTCCACAGGGGACAGCGAAGCGGGAACAATACAACCTGGCACCGCACCCAGGGTGATCGGGTCCGCACTGCGGAAAGAAAGGTCTGCGCCTACCACACCTGGAGGTAACTGGACTTCGGGAGTGCACCATTTCCGTTTAGTCACGTGCACAGTGACCTGCCATCATGATCTGAGTCAAAGTCACAGGAATTATAAAGATCTGCAAGATCAGCACGCCTTCCTTCAGGTCACTTCTCTTCCCCAAAGCCACAGCAGCTAGTGAGCACGGTGAGAAGGAGGACTAAGATAGGAGCACAGAGAGACGGCTCAGAGGGTAAGAGCACTGTCTTCCATCCTCAGGACCAACAGTGGAGAGACCTGACTCCCAGAAGTTACCCTCTGACATGTATGCTATAGCAGCGTGCCTGCCCACACATGCCACACACCAATAAATAAAACTGTCTGAGAGATTAAGTATGTGCTATATTTTAATAAGAGTACATGGAAGAACACGGTGTCCTAGGCGGTACACACAGGGTGAGTATCATGATCAAAAAGATTTTAATCGACTGAAGGGGGAAGCAGGACTGTTTTTAAGATTTCATTTTACTTTACTCTTTTATTATTATATTTATTTTACATGTGTGGACATTTTGCCTGTATGCATGTCTGTTCACTGTGCTTGCTGGCGTCCTTGAACGGCAGAAGGGGATAGATATATCGACCACAGTGAGCTGCTATGTGGATGGTGGGTAATCAAACCAGGCCCTCTGTGAGAGCAGCCGGGACCATGGGTGCTGGAGTGTCGGTGTGCAGGTATGTAAACCCTGAGTGCACACGCTTGTGGGGGCAGAGGCGTCAGGTCCCCTGGAGCTGGACTTACACGAAGTTGTGAGCCAGCGGACATGGGTGCTGGAACTGGAATCAGGTCCTCTGCAAGACCAGTGTGTGAGTTCACTTCACCCCGATTTACCCCGAGCCTCTTACCACACCCACACCCTGCTTCTCAGTACAGCCTTCACTACTCCAAGCTGACACTGGTGTCACTAAGAACAATCATAATTTCTGGAAATACATCTCTGGAGAGATTAATGCCCAGATAGTAAACTGGACTGTAGCAGTATCTTGCTGGTCTGGTGCCAGTGAGAGCAACTAGCGCTAACCTCACACCTGGCTAAGGTCAACTAGCGCTAACCTCACACCTGACCTAGCTCAACTAGCGCTAACCTCACACCTGACCTAGCTCAACTAGCGCTAACCACACACCTGTCTAAGGTCAACTAGCGCTAACCACACACTTGGCTAAGGTCAACTAGTGCTAACCACACACCTGGCTAAGGTCAACTAGTGCTAACCACACACCTGGCTAAGGTCAACTGATGGGAGATGTCATTCTGTAAATGTTTCTCTTATTGGTTAATGAATAAAGCACTGTTGGCCAATAGGAAAGCAAGATAGGCGAGACTAGGAGACAAGGAGGATTCTGGGAGATGTAGGGTAAGGGAGTCAAGAAGTAAGACATAAGAGGTCCGGACTCTCTCTCCAGTAAGATAAGACCACGTGGACGCACTTAGATTGATAGAAATGGGTTAATATTTAAGACAGAGCTAGCCAATAAGAAATGCTAGTAACTGGCCAACAGCTTTATATCTAATACAGCGTTTCTGTGTGTTATTTGGGGCTTAAGCGGCTCTGGGATCAGGCAGGCGGGAAAACTGTTCATAATAGTCAACTAGCTCTTAACCACACAACTGGCTGAGGTCAACTAGCCCTAACTACACACCTGGCCTAGCTCCGAAACAAATACCTTTTGTCCCTCTCTGTGAACTTTGTTTGGGACTTTCCCAAGAACACAAAGGTCCATGCAAAACTTGGTTCAGGAAACCAGGAAAACTGGTGCCTATGAATGGAGACCCTGCTCACACCATTGTGTTTTTAGAAGCCTCATTCAAGCTGTTCTGAGCATACGGTAATCAACTGGCTAAAGTGTGCATAGACAGAAAACTAAAAATGCCCTGGGCATTAGGAAGGTACTTCAGTTCCTCGAAGCTAGGGTCCCCTTCCATGACTTCCATGACATTGATTCATAGGAACCTCTTAGGTTTATTCTTATCCTCCTCAAATCTGTTATTTTTGGTTCCTACAATGTGTATTTAAAAGCACATTTTTATGAAGAACATTATGCTGCCTTCATGGATCTAATCTGATGGTACCTGCCCTCTTTCTTCCAGTGAATACTTCAGAGGATCTACCATGTCTAGGTACTTACACAAAGGAAACTGAGTACCTAAGTAGGGAACAGGACCAGAAGGCATAAGTAATGCCTGTACTTTAAACACAAGTCAGCCAAGCTAACACTACTACTATTTAGTTTCCAACTTATATCCTTTCTAAAAGCACCTCCATACAAACAACAAATTTGTCAGGCATAGGGACTGCTCATTAGTTATACTGTAACAATGCCAGGCCCACCGCAGTGCCTGACACAAAGTAACCATTACAGGAATTTCAAACAAAGGAAGACAGAAGGTCAGATGTGCTTTCAACTCTAAATTCTGTTCATCTCTTCTCAGCATACAACAAACTAACAAAAAACCATTTCCAGTCAAGAACTTTCTAAGTATGATCAAAGTGAACTTAAATAAGGACCCAGAGCCACTGCACAGTTCCAGAATCAAGAGGAAACTGCTAGAAGCCATCCATGTGACTTTTATGATTCATTCTTTATGAGCCATACAGCTGTTTATAGCCATACTCTCTCTGCAGAGGACAGCCCCTCACCCATGCACGCTTGTCTCCACGACAATCTCTAGACTATGGAACAGAAAAGCCCTCCCTCCAAAAATGCTCAAAGTTCCTGGGTCTGAAAATAAGAATTACAAGGCTCCAGCCGGGCAGTGGAGCCACACGCCTTTGATCCCAGCACTCGGGAGAGACAGAGGCAGGCGGATCTCTGTGAGTTCGAGACAAGCCTGGTCTACAAAAGCAAATTCCAGAACAGGCTCCAAAGCTACAGAGAAACCCTGTCTCAAACAACAACAACCACCCCCCCAAAAAAACACAAAACAAACAAAAAAGAATTACAAGGCTCCAACCATCACTCACCCTAAAACAAATTCAAAGTGCTCCCAAACCCGGCATTTGATGTATAAAAGGAATTCTCATCTATTATTTTTCCAGCTTCCTTCACATTTATCCAATGTCTTGGTTTGGGGTCCTCAGCTGCTGTGGGGGGGGTCACTCCTTTTAACCCCACTCCCACTAGGTTCTGATGCCCTCACACTAGAACTCAGCCTGCTAACTCTGACACGTCCCTTCCACTCCCATCTACCTTGTAGGATGTCATTTTAGAGACAGTGTGAGCCACTGGCTGAGTGGATGAGAATCACCTGTGGGCACACCTGCCTGCCCACCACGCCTCCGTCCACCACACATCATCGTCAGGAAGTTAAGCAAGAAGGTGGGAAACACTTTCCAATCAACTTCTAGTTTTTTTTTTGTTTTTTTTTTTCCATTCCATTAACTCACAGATCCAAGCACCCCTGGGTAGATGGGTTCACTGCCCCCAAACAGACTCAACCTTAAATGATCACAAAAATCATAAAATCCTTTTTCTTTCCAGCCCCCCTACCAGCCCTAAAAAAAAAAAAAAAAATCAAAATCAGAAAAGCCAAACATTTTCATATAAACGGTGCTTGTCAGAAGACAAAGTGACAGAAAGAGACACAGCACTGTACCTACCTTATGTCTTCCTCGGAAGACATTTGCAGTGGCCCCCTGGCCTAAGATATCAGACAAGAGCCACAGGTGGTTAGAAGTGCTCTGCATCTCGGCTTGCTGGGAAGCTTCGCCTCACGCTGTGGGGGAAAGAAGAGATTTGCATAAATGCTGCTCAGGAAATAACACAGCCAAGAAACAAATGTTAGCCACTGTTCAGTCCGAAGTGGGACGACTCATTTACTGCCAAGCATAACAGTCCCGTGTTAAAAATACGGTTTCTAGTAATATTAGAGGGTAAAATGCTACGTGAACATCATAGGGAAAAGCCCACAATATTAAATCACTGACACGCATTCAACTGTCTCTGTTATGCTTTGGAGGGAGTGTTTCCCGTATTCCCCAGCCTGGCCTGGTTTTATGCCTTGGCCTGGAATGATGGAATTACAGGTGGCCCTGGCTTTTCTGTGGATGCACTCATCCACAGACGCTGGGGCAGGTGGGAGGGAGTTGGACCCCCAGGAGCTGGAGTTAGAGGCAGCTGTGACCCATCTGCTGTCAGTGCTGGGAGCTGAACTCCTATCCTCATCAACACCGAGCCATCCATCTCTCCAACACTCCCACATCCGGCTTTATTTCTTCATATATTCCATGTAATTTGCATCTCACAGCTGGAAAAAAATCCCTTCATTATCTAATATTGTCTCTGCCAATTACAGTAATGTTGGCTACTTATCTCCTCCAACTGTTTAGAAGGATTAACCATTGATTATCAAAGAAGAAAAAAAAAAAAGTTGACTCAGGGTCTCCTTATAGCCCAAGTTGGCCTTGAACCTTCCATCTTCCTGCCTTCACCTCCCACAGGCTCAGAGGCAAATTAAAGAAATTAGGCTAGCACAGTACTAGCAGAGAGCAGTCATCACTACACAACAGCTCCATAATGCAAATGTTCTTCCACAGAGTCACTGCAATGGAGAAGTACAGGACTTAGTATCCCGGAGAAGTCAGTAACTGCTCTCGTGTGTAAGAAAAGGTTTCTGGGCCAGCGAAATGGCTCAGTGGGCAAAGGCGCTTGCTGCCAAACCTGGCAACTGAAGTTCGGTCCCTGGAACCCATGTGGCAGAAGGAACCGACTATCTGCCACAACGCGCAAGAGGCCCAGCACACAATGAATACATTTAAAAACATTAAAAAGCAATCCTTTCCCTAACTTCCTCCTCCTTCTCCCCCTCCTCCTCCTTTTTTTGTGTGTGTTTTTGAGACAGGGTTTCTTTGTGGCTTTGGAGCCTGTCCTGAAACTTGCTCTGAAGACCAGGCTGGTCAGAGATCCACCTCCCTCTGGCTCATGAGTGCTTTTCCCTAGCTTCTAAATAGACAGGTAATACACACACCAAGTACATATTAAGAAGTGACAATAGCAGACTTGTCCCATGGTGCAGCTAAAAGAAAGGCACACACGCTAGACACATCAGACTCCTCAAGTCTGCTTGAGGTCAGGCCACAGAAATGACCTCACAGTCCATTTCCCCTAAGTTAGAATTCTAGTCTCCCAAGGGTCCAAGTTTCACCAATCTCTTACATACCAGCTCCGCTGTCTTTATAACTTCACCACCTATGTAATTTAGATAAACAACTGCCCATCCCATCTATTTGAAGTCGCTGGCCAGATGTCCTCTGTGTGTGTGTAGACTAAGACTCCCTCTTCATGAATGCATTTACCAGTTACCGCATTTCATTTAAGCAGCAGTAAACCCGAATATGTCATGGAAAACCTTCCCTGTTAATTGCTGTCAGGTAACTGAAACCACGCTTAGCCGAGATCCCTGCTGTCTACACACCAACATAAAAAGACGGCTCCACCACAGTGATGGTTCGAAACTTAGGGCCAATGCCCCCCTCATGCCTAAAACATGACTCAGCACACCCGCCAGACGCTTGCTATTAGGTGTCCATAAATTCTGGCACGCGTATCTAAATTGGCATTCAACAAGTACATCACTGGTGACTCCGTCGTCGGCCTACTTCCTTTAACTGTTCAAAACGAAAGTTACCAAGGATAAAACAGGTTTGGTGGCATGGGGGACGGACAAAGTTCCAGGATCTCCAAACTCTACCTCTTGTCGACCATGTATTCGACCAGACAGCAGAGGTTCCAGACCGGGAGAAGGGTCGGGTTTATAATGCGTTTGACAGAACCGGTCTTGGGGACGACTGACGGGCAAACAGCAGCAGGGAAACGGGTTAGGCGAATACATCCCACAGCCAGGTCAAAGGGGAACTGGAAGACCCGGGGATTTGCTTTTTGTTGTTGTGGCTGCCGGTGCGCGTTAAAAACCCGTCTGCCCTGTGCTGGCCGGGCGAGCCCACCTTTGAGGACGCCTGTGCACAGCAGTCCGTGCAAATAAAACCCGCGGTGTGGGCCGGGCCGGGCCGGGCGGCGGCTCCACTGCACTCGGGCCGGGCAGCCGTCCTGCTCCGGCCGCCAGGGCCCAGCCGGGGCGGGCGCGAGCCGCGGGAGCCTCAGGCCGCCGCCCCGCCGGCTGACTCAGCAGCCCGCTGCGCCCGGGACCCCGGAGCGCGCCGCCCGCGCCGCCCGCGCCGCCCGCGCCGCCCGGCCCCTCTTACCCAGCCGCGTCTCCGCCGCGCACAGCCCGCGGCTCCGGGGCCTCCTCGCGCCCCAGGCTACTTCCGGCTTCGCCGGCCCGGGCCGCGGAGCACGTGACCAGCGGCGGGGGCGGGGCGCGCTGCGTGCGTGCGTGCGTGCGTGCGCGCCGCCGCCGCCGCGAGCCTGCGGGGCCCGTGCGGGGCGGCGGAGCTCGGGCCTCTCGGTGCGGCGAGGCCGGCCGCTCGGGACTCGTGCGGGTAGAAGGGTCGGGGCCAGGTCTGTCTGAAGGCGCCACTTGCCGCACCGGCAGGAATGGGCTCGGTGTCCGTCCGCTCTGCTCTTGAAGCCGGCAGCACTGCAGAGTTGAAGCACTGAGCCTGACTGCACGGGCTGGGGGGGGGGGGTAAGTTCGGAGTGGAGGAAAAGGCGGGGGCGGCCCCGGAGCAGATGTGCATAGACCCGGCAGATGTGCATAGACCTGAAACCCCCCGCCCCATTTTCAACCAATGCACAACGGAGATGATTAAAAAAAAAAAAAAACCAAAACAACAACGACCAAAAATCAATCCAAAAGAGTTCTTAGAAAGGAAGTTTATTTTATTAGAATTTTAAAGTTTGGCAATGAAATCATTTTAACAGCAAATGCACTTTCTGCTTACAATTAAAACCTATTTCGGTTCGGATAATGACATGACAGGCCCATCCAAGTTTCTTCCAACAGGAAAACCCACAGCTCAGAAATTATGGAGGAAATATGACTAAGCCAAAGGACTTCACATGTTTACCGCATAAATGATACACATTAAAATACCACGTAGTACTTTCTTAAAAAGGCAAGCCACTTGTGAGCCCGATAGCAAGCCTGGACCCTTGAAGCAAACGGTTAGGCACAGGAATAATTCGGGCACCATAAAACCCATGTCCTTCGATTTCTCACCTCTAACGAATGAGATTCACTCGAGACAATTATTTGGGTGCTTGCTTTTAAAAATAAGGTACTTAATGATGGAAGTTTCCTGCCAATGACGGTAAGCTCAAGGAATGAAGACAGCAGTTTCACACATGATTACATTGACATAAAGTTCCTTACTTACACACTCTGATTTCCATGTCCACTGGAGGGCTTTACAGAGCCATGTATGGACTCAATAGTACAGTAATAAATAGTACAGTAATACTGAGACCTATGTTTTAACTCACTGAACTCTTAACAAGTTATGAGGTAGCTACCATTACTTCCCCCGTTTCTGAGGGGGGAAACCAAGGCAGGAAGAAGTCGTTTAACTTGCTCAGGGCCAGAAACTCAGTTACTGGTGTAAGTGGTGTTTGCACCCACTTAACCTGGGTCCAGAGTCCACAGTATGCAAGGTCTTCGGTACTATGCGCTCACTATAATACCTTGCACAATCACACTGTTGCAACAGATGCTATTGCATCTCACAGTGCACAGGAAAACAGCAAAGAAACACCCAGTTTTGCCTGTCTTGGTGTTTTTTTTTTTTTTTTTTTTTTTTTTTGTGTTTGATGCAGAGTCTTACTCCAGCCCAGACTGGCCTTGGCCTCCTCTAAATGTGGTGATTGTAAGCATGAGCCACCAAACCTGGCCCACTTACCTACTTAAAATCATTATTTATTGAAGCACTATATATATATATATATATATATATATATATATATATATATATATTTCACTGATCTATTTTTACCATTCAATAGAAGACTATTTTCAGCTGTCAATTTTACTGCCTTAATTTTATGTCAGGAAAATGCTGACATTTGGTGGAGTTAAAATCAGATAGAGCCGTGTGCACGATTTAGAGTAAAATGGGGAAATGGGGGGGGGCAGGTGTGTGTGGGGGCTCAGCGAGTAAATGTTTGCTGAACAAGAACGGGGACCTGAAATTGGATCCTCAGCATCCACATAAAAGCTGCTGGAGCCAACATCTGTTCCCTGAGGACGGTAACAGTCAACCCGGCTCCAGGGTTAGTGGAAGACACTCAAAAGAGACACCCTCCCACACAGACATCCGTACAGACACACACATTTCCTGTACACACACACACAGACACACTACAAAGACTTTAGGGAATTTATGGGTCATAAATTCTCCGACAACACACAAATCTCCCCTGAAATCTTTGTCTCCTCTCTGTTCTGTGGGACTAAGTTTTCAAGCAAGCCCTCTACCACTAAGCAATATACCCACAACCCCCTCTCACAAGCCATCAGGCTTTTACTTACTACAATGTCTGGCAGGTTCTCATGTAGCTCAGGCTTGCCTCAAACTCAGTATGTAGCCAAGGACAGCCTGGGACCTCTGACCCTCCTCCTCAGCCTTTATGAAGTGCTGGCGATGGAACCTGGGACTCTGCATGCGTGGGAGGTAGAGCTGGGCCTTTCCTTTTAAACTTGCATGTCTCCAGCCATGTTCCTGTTCCCGTTTCCCAAGGCCCCTACTGTACCCACCACTTTCCTTTACCTCTCTCCCGTGGGCACGCAGCACAACCTGGAGCAGTTAAGCAGAAACTGACTACAAAATCATAAACACACAGGCGGCGGTCAGACCTGGTGAGTCACACCTTTAATCACAGCAGCTAGGAGGCAGAGACAGGCAGATCTGTCCATCTGAGGCCAGCCTGGTTTATATAGCGAGACCCAGTCTCAAGACAAAAAAAAAAAAAAAAAAAAAAAACCAAAACAAAACCCCAAGTATATTGTACTGTAAGCACACTTAATATCATAGAAAGACATTGGAGCTTATAATCCAATCATAGGTTCATGGAGCCTGTTTCTAGTGCATTTAACTTAACAGACCTTTAGGGGCATAGTCAGTGAAATAAGGCATCCACATTCTTATCTGCAAACCTTTGATGTGGGAAATCAGAGAGTGATTAAGGTGGGAAAATGAGGCTATTCATAATAATTCCGGAAAAGACTTGGTATATTTCACTATGTAAAATTTATTTTTTATAAAAAAAAAAAGTGTAACACCAGCAGCTACTTTTAAACCGACTAATTTAGGAACCCACTCTCTTATAGGATACACATTGGCATTGAGACAGTTTGAAGAAATGTAATGGCTATCTACAAAAATTACGTTTTGATTGTTACCTCATAGCTTGTGTCTGCACACACAAAACATTTTCAACTTTACATTCAACTGTTAGGGTCAGTTTCCCACTGCTATATACTTTTGTTTTTGGGTTTTTTTTTCCCCCCAATATAAAGAACTTTAAAGTTTCATATAAAGAAAAAAAATGAAGGTACTAGGATAAATCTATGTCTTATAACAGCATTTTTTACATAAACAATTTAAACTGGCATGCAGGCAACTTTGCTTGTTGTCACATGCCTGTATTTAGGGAAAAATTACACCCATTTTACAGAAAATCCCACATACACAGCCACCAGCTCAGAACAATGTTAACAGATCGGTGTGAATGGCATACACGCACGCGCACACACACTGCTTCTCCGAAAGTTATTAACTGAGTTCCTGGTCATGACACAGGAGAGGGGAATCCAGTCCTTAGGGCTTTGCTCTCTGGAAGAACACCTGCAAAACAGTACCGGAACAGCGTAAGCATCAGGCAGGATAGCTAGCTTCCTCGAGGGTCACCCCTTGGTGACCAACAACATTGCTATGAGCAGCGGCAGTCGGAGCAAATAGCTTTTGGTGGTTTTTCATTTACTGGTAAAATTAACAGTGGGAAGTTAAACTTAAGGAAGAAAAAAAGGCAAAGCTAAGACAGAAATCGTAGGCCTTAACAGAGTTACTGTATATTAGGTGATTAAAAGTCATTTCCAGGTCAGTATTTGAGATGACAGAAGAGTGGGCTAGAGGCCACACTAAGCCCCAGCCCAGCAGTGCATTCCATCTGCAGTGACTTAATTAAATGAATGCTACAGATGGGCCTGGCCGGCAGTGAGCTCATGAAGAAGGACCGTATCTGTTATTCTAAGGCTCAACTGACAGTTTAAGCGAGGGGAAGGATGGGTACGGTGGAGACTCACACCTGCAAGCCCAAGAGTTGGGAGGCCAAAGCTCACCTGGGCTACAGGAGGGAAATCCTGTCTCACAATAAACCAAAAAAGCATACAGTGTCAAGAGTGACCACTGAATGACCAAACGAAGGTCTTCCCAGGACACTGTCGTAGTTAGCTTTAACTGTCAAGCTGACACAGCCTCCAGCCCCAGAGAAGCAGTCTCGATTGACGGACTTCCCAGATCAGACTGGCCTGTGGGACACAGTCGGGACTGGTAAACTGGCTGTCCTGGAACTTCGTAGACACGGCTGGCCTTGAACTCAGAGATCCACCTGCCTCTGCCTCCTGAGTGCTGGGACTAAAGGCTGACTGTTAACTGACAGAGGCTGGACCAGCCAGCTGTGGGTAAGTAACGCCACTCCCTGGATAGGTGGGCCTGGGCTGCGTAAGAAACAAGCTACTCATCAGCCTGGCGAGCCAGCAAGCGCTGCTTGCTCTCCCTCGGTTTCCGCTTCAAGTTCTGGTCCTGACTGCCCTCATGACAGACTGTAAGCTGGGATGAACTCTTCTCTCCCTACATTGCCTTTGGCCACGGCACCTGCCATACTACCAGAAGGAAACCAGAACAGAGCATGTCAAAGGTTCGCCGAGAACAGAGGCCGAGTTAGTTCTCAGGCGGGGCTGAAGAACGGCAAAGACGATTCTTGAAAGAGGAATGAAATGTGAACATTGGAAACCCAGATAGGCAGCATGCATGGATTTGTCTTAGTAATGGATTTGTCTTAGTAAGTAGTGCTTCCAGGAAGAGCAATGGATGAAGGAATACTTGCTAGACCAGCCAAGCTAGAACAAGGGAAGGAACAGAGAGAGATAGTGTCAGGCAGCCACCACACAGGGAGGAGTCAGGCAGATAGGAAGGAAGAACAGAGACTTCTTCTGATCAGGAGACGCTAACACTGACATACCGCTCTCCGTCACTGAGAAGCTGAGCTAAGCTTGTCAGTGCCCGTACATATGGACAAACACACGCGAGCACAAGCGGGCCTTCTGCGCTCCCGGAATTGTGCATCTACCCAGTAAGAGCCGGGCATTTTCACAGGCGCTTGCCTTTTCTTCTCCCAATGTTAACAAAATAAAAAAATAAAACATAAAACAAAAACCAAAAAACTTCTCCTTTACGCTGATAACTCTTGAGGGATGATGTCAGAACAAGAAAGGATAGCAAATGCTTTTGACTTATAAATTCTCTTTAGCCTGGTTTGTGTTGTTGTTATTGTCATTATTAATTATTACTGATGCTAACAATTGCACCCAGGGTCTTGTACATGCTATGCTAGGCAGGTGGTCCGACACAACCTACAGCTCCAGCTACTATCTTGAGCCAGGGGCCATTTGTTTGTAACTTGTTACCAAGAAATGTAGTATGGCTTTGCTTCTCGGTTTACTCAAAGTACCAAGCACAAACAAGAAATAGTTCTGGGCTCTGGCTCAGTGTGACTGAGCTCCTTGAGCAGGGGCAGTCACCCGTACTGATTCTTGCAGCATCTCTTGTCTGTACATAGAAAAGTCTTAATTTTGAAAAAGTAATCTCCACTGGGTGGTGGTGGCACACACCTTTAGTCCCAGTGCTCGGGAGGCAGAGGCAGGCGGATCTCTGTGAGTTCAAGGCCAGCCTGGTCTACAGAGTGAGTTCCAGGACAGGCTGTAAAGCCACAGAGAGAAACCCTGTCTCGAAAAAGACAAAACAAGCAAACAAAAAGGAAAGGCAATCTCCAACTGTCTCCCCCTAGTTTCAGGCAGGGTCTCACTATGGAACTGAGGCTGACCGTTAATTTGTGTTCCTTCTGCCTCCTTATTCCAAGTACAGAGATTACTTGCATGCATCACCACCTGACATGTTTTATTTTATTAATAAAATTTAATGCTTTTTGAATGCAAAAAAACAGTCTTGTTGGCCAAATCCAAGGGGCATCTCTTTTGTTTGCTATACATTCAGCTGTTTCAAAATGAAATAAAAGTAATTTATAATGTCTGCTTTTGTATTTTTAGATCCCTTCAATTATGAACATTTCTTGTTCTTTCCACCATCTAGTTAGTACCCATTTAATTACATCATAAAACTATAAAACAACAAGAAAAACCCAAACCCTGACATTTTCTTACCAATACATTCAGGTGTCTAGACAATTAGTGCACATACCCAATTTTAAAAGTGTTTCCCAACAGATTAGTTCAAAAGGGGATTCACGAAATCTTCTGTAATTCCATCTCTTAGGGTAAAGAGACCCCACAGTGAGTCAGACTCTGCACCCTCAGACATTACCTCGAAATCTTCTGTAATTCCATCTCTTAGGGTAAAGAGACCCCCAGTGAGTCAGACTCTGCACCCTCAGACATTACCTCGAAATCTTCTGTAATTCCATCTCTTAGGGTAAAGAGACCCCCAGTGAGTCAGACTCTGCACCCTCAGACATTACCTCGCTGATAAAGATAGGGACCCCCCCCCCAAATACCTACCTTTAGGTAATTTTTAAAAACTTTAGCATCAGGCTGCTGAAGTGCTTGACAAAACTCCTGGGGGTGGGGGATGACAAGAGAGGGAAGAGAAATTACTGTAAAGCCCATTTAATTCAAGCCCATAATAGCCTTTTTGTTTTAAGCTATGAACACAGCTCATCATCACCGCCACTCCCCCCCCCCCGTGCGTGCAGGCTTCCTCGCCTGCAGACACCAGCACCTGTGCCCACTGGACGCCTCCTCTCCAGCACCCACAGCCGCCACTCTGCTCTCTGCCTGCCGAGTCTTACTACTTTGGACCTCTGCTGTCAGGATGGAGGGTTTGCTTTTACTGCCTAAGTAGCAGACACTAGCTAGCATAGTGTCCCCAGTGTCCCCAGTGTGGTTGCAGAGGACATTTCTTCCTTCAAGGCTGAATAATACCACTACGAGTATATACCTTATTTTCTTCATGTGGACACCTACACAATGGGCTGTAATGTTGCTTCACGTCTACTGTAGTGCTATTACAGCTCATCAAAGTCAAGTCAAACCATCTCATTATCAACGGTTATGCATGGGATTTTCAAACATTACACCCAAACAAGTTGCTCTTTCATTTTCTCTGAATCATCAGGGAGAAAAGAAACCAAAACCAGTGTTGTCTCAGACTTGGTAGGATGGTCACTGGCAAATGACCCAACCACACCCCAGAGCCAGGCACCTCAGTTCATGTCTGTAGTCCGGGCTAGCCCAGAACCTGAGAAGGAAGGGCTGTTTGGGCCCGAGAGTTCAAGGGAAACACAAGACCCCGTCTCAAAAGGCAGAGGAGGAGGAGGAGACAAACGGAACAGAGGGAGGGAATGGGCACAGTAACGCGCGAATGATATTGGGAGGCAAAGTGAAAGGGTTTTTATTTGAGGTCAACATCTCATCACACCAACAAGACAAAAGTCAGTCAGCAAGGATGGAGAAAACCTAACACGCAGTGAGTGAGAATTCGCAACAACACACACACAGTGAGAATACACAACAACACACACACATACACACACACACAGTGAGGATACGCAATAACATGCACACTGTTAGTGAGAATAAACACCACACACACATACACACACACACAGTGAGAATACGCAATAACATGCACACTGTTAGTGAGAATAAACACCGCACACACACACACACACACACACACACACACACACACAGACACACACACAGAGAATGCAAAGGGCAGCTGGTGTGCTTTAATTTTTTTTTTATAATTAACTAGGGATTGATCCTTGGGCTTTGCAAGCACACTAAGTCTATACTACCCTACCTCCAGCTCAGTATGAAGGCTATTAGAATTTTGTGCTAGACCTGTGTTATCCAGGAATCTCACTTTGGGGGTATTTACCCAAAAGAAATGAAGTGGATGTTAAGGTATACCCAAGGAGATGTCTTCTTTATCACAAGAAAAACAACAACAACAACAAAACCCCAAAACAAATCTTGGAATCTAGGTGAGTGGACTTTTTTCTAGCGGATACTTCATAAACTCATGCACTACTGCACAAGACGTGTGGGAAACTGTATGAACAACATGTGTGCCATTAAAATTGTTATGTGTCATAGAACACGCAACTTTCTAGCCACCCGCCTCAAAACCCAACTTCAGACTTAAACAGTAAACACTGGGCACAAACCCAAGCAGGAGCCCTTCCGCTTCCTCCCTTCCGCTTCCTCCCTTCCGCTTCTTTTCTTTCCTCTTTGCCACGCACGTCAGGGTCTGAACCCACGGTCTTGCACATGGCAGACAAGCAAGCATGTCACCAGCGGCCTGCAAGCCTGCCAAGGCAGATGCCCACAGGCTGTGATCACCGCCGGCAGTCTCTCCTCTCAGAAGCCCCCGCTTTGCCAGAACTCACTCGATAACCTAAGGCAGACTCGATGCACATCAGCCCTCTGCCCGAGTCTCCCAGGTGGTGGGATTACATGCCTGGGCTGCCATGCCCACAGCCATGTTTTCATTTCAAAAGCCAGGGTTAAAAAAGAAAGCAACTGGAATAAACTTTGTTTTTTAAAAAGATGTGTATCAGCTGCAGAGAGGGAGGACAAGGCCAGGCTGCAGAAACACACAGACAGCTGACCTGAACAAGGAGGAGCTAACGGGCCCCCAGACTGATAGCTGGGAATCCAGCATGGGACTGACTCAGGCCCCCTGAATATGGGTTTCAGCTACAAGCCCTGGGCAGTCTAAGGGACCTCAGACAGTAGAAAGAACCTGGATGTATCCCTGGTGCACAAGGACTTTGGGAAAATGCTCCCCATGGAGGGATACTGCCTTAACCTAGAGATAGGAGAGAAGTCCTAGTCCCTACTTCAAATGACTTGACAGATTTAGATGACCCCGCCTGGAAGGCATCACCCTACATGTGGAGGGGCGGGGATTGGGGGGGGGGAATGGTCAGGGGGCATGAGAGGGTGGGAGAGGGAAAAAGGGAGGGAGGGAGAGGGAACTGGGATCGATGTGTAAAATAAAAAAAAGGAAAACAAAAACAAAACAAAATAAAAAAACAAACAGACAAAAAAGGATGTGTGTTTGCATTAGCTGATGTGTGCCAGAAGCCCCCAGAGGAAGGGAGGTCACTGGATTGCCATCAACTGCAGCTACAGGTGGCTGAGAGATGACACATGGGTGCTGAGAGATGACCTGAGTCCTGGCAAGAGCAGCCAGTGCTCTTGACCACTGAGCTCCAGGAATTCGGATTTTTACTATATTTAGTTTGGTAACAAAACTTAGTGTCTTCTTAGGCAACAACGTAAGTAGTAGCACTACCCAATGAGTCATAATTTCAGAATGGTGACACACACAAATAATATTTCTAATCATCTCCAGCCCATATGCCATGAAAATATGTGACAGCAGGTTGGGGGGATTCCTCAGCTGGTAAAGCGTCAGAGACCGAACCTCAGAATCCAGTAAAAGTACCAAGTGTGGTGGCAAGTCATGGTGAGCGGCAACAGAGGCTTGTGGACTGGCTGTTCTAGTGAGCCGGAGGCCCACAAAATGTGTCTCAAAGGAGACAAACAGTGTTCCTCAGTGTGGCACCCAAAGTTGTCCTCCAGCCTAAACACACACACACACACGCACGCACGCACTCACTCACGCACGCATGCGCACGCACTCTCTCTCTCTCACACACACACACACACACACACAGAGAGAGAGAGAGAGAGAGAGAGAGAGAGATTTGTATTGGAGGTTTGTAAGAATAAAAACATAAAACCATTCCTACAATGTCATAGATTACTTAAGTCTAGATTCCAGGCTACTGATGGAAAAACAAGCTAAACGCTATCTGGCTTTCTTGAATTAAAATTTATATTTGAAGTACACATTCACATTTATTTAATAAGATTCAAGCAGAATCTCTTAGGAGAGCTCTTACCTGAATTATTTCTGGAGAAACCTGTAAGGAGGGCAGGTATTCTTGTTGAAGATACTGAACACACTCGGGGCCCTGCGGGTGAAAAGACAATCAGTTAACTATTTCCCTTCTGGGCACCGATGATGCTGGGAGTGTAGATCAACCCGCACGAAGGCCATACAGTACTAGGATAAGAACACAGACTCTAGGTCAGACTGCCTTGATCTGAAGCCTGGCTCTATGCCAACTTAAACTAGCTGCTCTAAGTCCCGAGTTCTCCATCTGAAAAATTAAAAAATTAAGCTACTGGATGGATCTGATGAACTATCAATATCTGTGTATGTCATGGACAAATAACGTATTGTGTAACACATAATACGCAGCAAACGTAACACTTAGCATTTAGTGCATGTCAACCTGTCTGTCTGGTGTCAGGTGTCTTCATATACTGCTCTCCACCTTATTTCTCAGACAGGGTCTCTCATGAAATCTGGAGTTGGCTAATCCAGCTTGTCTGGCCAGCCAGTAAACTCCAGGGATGACCCACCTGTGTGCGCCACCACAGGACTGAGATCTGTCTGAGATCACGGCCATGTCTGGCTATTTTGTGGGTGCCAGGACCTAACACAGGTCCTCACGCTTGCATAGTAAGCACCCGATGGGCTCAGGCGTCTCCCTCGCCCTGCATCTGGGAACTACGATGGTTCCACACTGCGGAGCTGAAGGCATGACAGAGCTCTGAGTGTGAAGTGAGCCTGGCTATGGAGAAGAACTGTGTCCAGACAAACCAAAAAGCGAGCCCTCTCCTCACCATGCCTGGCCCACTTTAACACCTGCATGTGCTGTTGACTATTATTAGAACTTCTTAATCACAAGGCTCCTTTATCTCTCCTTTCTACCTTGACTCCCTCTACTTACAGGGGCCTAGGTCTCAACTTCCTGACCCCTCAGAAGTCGTCTGTCATCTGCGGGGACACCACACTGGTTCTTCAGGGTTTCTTATTCTCTCCTCCCGGTAGTCTACCCATTTGCAACACAGTGCTTGCCATTCCATACAACTGTATTATCAGTTACACACTCGAACACAAGCAAACACAAACACCCACACATACATACATGAACACCACACACATATACCAACTAAAAACACACACACTTTAGCATAAATAAAATAACTTTTAAAAATGAGATAGCTACCTTTGGGTAGTAGCAGAGGATGCTTGAGAGTTTAGGAGAAAGGGTGAGAAGCAATTTAGACCAGTGATCTGAAGCATTGCCTTCTATTCAAATTAGTAACACTTTTGTTTATTTCTGTTTCCTGACTTCGAATACTAGAGTACAAGCTACTTTTCCCGAATAAAACCAAGATACCCTTGTTTAAAGGTAATTTCTTTCTCTCCTTCTTTCCCTCACTTTGAGTGTGTGTGCTTGCCCATAGACACTGGAGACGTTGGATCCCTTGAGCTGGAGGTCCAGGCCACTGAGGGCCTTCCTGCGTCTAGGAGGGATGCGCCCGGGCCCCTGCCAACAGCAAGCATTCCTCTCTGGTGGAGCCTCTCCCTGTCTCAGGGTGTTTCTTTCCTGATGCTTTAGGCAAAGTTGTTTTTGCTCTCATCTTACAAGTGCCGACAGGCCAACAATGAGAACTCGCTACTTCATACCCACAATCCTAACAGCTCTCTGAACATCTTTCCCACCCAGCTACCTGTATTACAACCACTTGGCCTACTGATTTTCCCAATACTCATTCAACAACACCCAGCTGCCAAGCATCTACCCCATTGTACTTTTTAGCTTAAGTGGAAAGGGTTAAGTCTGCCCCCCCCCCCATCAAATCCACCTGCTGTCCAACCAACGTGCATTCGTCGTCTGGTAGGACCCATCAGACAAAATGCACCTCTTTCTATGGCTTCTTGTTAGGCTAGGCAGCTTCAGCCCTATAGTGTTTTGTATACTATGAAAATACTCATTTAAACCACTGAGAGTTACTTATGCATTGTTTCCCCTTGACTCTGAGCTCCATAAATATTGAAGACTGCAGTTGATTTTTGTTTTGTGAATTCTTTGGGGATCCGCCACACGTGGTATCTGCTTCAGTGGCTTCGCTGCTCTTAGCCTGGCTTGTTTCTAGTCAGCTTTCCTTAGTTGAAGTTAGCCCGTCTATCTTTTCTGCCTCTAGGCTTTTACCTTTCTCTATACCTTCCTTTCCCTTCTTACCCGGAGGCTGGTCGTGTGGCTGGGTGGTTGGCCTCTGGCATCCTCTTTTTCTCCCAAAAAAGGGGCGTCCTTCTGCTCAGCCCCCACTTAAGAACCCTGGCTACGCTTAGTTCCTCCCTACCACTTCCAGTCAGCTACTCAGTCTCCCGATCCCAGGTTCATTTTATTTAATCAAACAAATGTAACATGCCTTTGCATCGTGAACAAAAGCAGCAGAAACAAACGTCACACACCTTTACACAGTTAAAACCATATTCCACACCAGGGGGTTCCTCTTTATGCATTCCCCCTGCAACACAGCAGCCCTCACCCTTTACGGCAGCACAGGCACAGAGGATTGCTGCTGGACCGAACACCTTCAGCCTGCCTTCAGAACAAGACTCAAGCTCAGAAGCGAACGCGCAGAAACAGGTAGCGCGCTCTTTTACATGGACAGGGAGCAGGCTACCTTGCAGCTAACTGCAGTTCAGGAAATGCTGGTCTGTGCTGGGTCGGAGAAGTTGGAAATAGGAAAAAAGTACTCATTTTCAAATGTTGGCAAGTAATTAAGTTATCTGAGCATGCCTACAGTCTCTTACGATTTACACATGACTAGACTGACAAGAAATAACTCAGTATTTATACCTGTAACCCAACTCGTAAGAGGATGAGGCAGAAGGACTACTACGAGCTCATGACAGGCTGGGCTACAAGGGTGAAATCCTGTCTCAATAAACCAATAAAAAAAAGTGTATTAGCAAATAAAAACTAAAGGTGTTGTGGTACTCGCCTTTAATCCTAGCACATGGGAGACAGAGGATCTTTTTGAGTTCAAGGCCAGTTCTGATGTACAAGTTAAGTTACAGGATAGCCAGGTCTGTTATACAGAGAAAGCCTGTCTTAAAAGCCAAAGACACACACACACACACTCACTCACACAGTCTGTCTCAAGGTTAGAGTAATAGCTCCATTGGCAAATAAACATTGGCCCCTGGCCTCCACCCCCAACACCCACCTTAATCACAAAAAGCCCAGGTGTTGAGGGATGCTTTAACCCCCCCCCCCCAGCTAAGGGGGCAGAAGCAATGGTTCCCTTTCTGCCTTGTCCTGCCAGCCTCGCCTAGTCTAAGAGTGAGCCTCAGGCCCCAGTGACATGCACTTTCAGAAAACAACACCTCTTGTGGACACACACACACTCACACAGACATGCACACGCACACTCACTCACACAGACACAGAAATTGGCCCGTACAGAAGCTGAACACGGAAGGCAACTTGTGAGCCACGCCGCGAGGGGCAGGAGCAGTCGCTGCTACTTCACCCAGGCCTTCCCACACACCCACACATCGGTGCCCCAGTCCCCTTTCAACGAGTCAGGCCCAAAGGAAGCGGGGCACGTTCGGGACAAGCGTGAGGGAGGGACAAGGAGCACCGGCCTCACCCGTTTGAGATGAATCGTCTTCAGAGTCACGGCACACTCGGAAAGAGCCTGTAAAAAAAAAGACAAGTTTCTTCGTTACAAAACCATGCTTCTGTCTCTTCTGCCTGCAGGCTACTGGAAGGACAACATACCCAGTGAGTGTCTGCAGGGAGCGAGGGCTGGCACAGTAAGTATGCTGCACCCAAGAAAGCACAAGACAGATCACTGGGGGCTGGAGGGAGGGCTGGGGGGCTAGGAGCACTGGCTGCTCTTCCCGAGGACCAGCACGGTGCTACATACGGCCATCGTGCGACACTCTGGGCGCAGAGGCGTGCACGAGGACTGTGTGCAAGTCTGAGGGCAGTCGGGTGTACACACCGAGACCCTGGCCAGCTACGGCTACACAGCAAAACCCAGGCTGTGTTCACTATGCCAGTTCCTAGCAATGAAAGAATACAGGAAGGAAAAGAGAGGGAAACTGGAGGGAAGACGACAGAAGGAGAGAGGAAGTCAAAGAAGGGGGGGGGGGTGACAAGGAGGGACGAGGCTTGGCGGTGGAGCACCTGCCAAATGTGTGACATCCTTCTTCTGTCCCCAGGAGAGGAAAACTGACTTGAGGAGTCCCCTTGAAGCACAATTAACCGTGTTTCGAGAAGCTTCTCCGAGATGAACAAAGACTTGGAGATGCTTACCAGCACTGTCTGTGCGTCGGCCAGGTCAAAGGTCTGCTTTAAAGGCGCTAGGAAACACGCAGGGACAATGTGCTTATAAACAAAGTCCGCGAAGCCCACTGGTCCATCTTTGCCACCTGCCAAGAGAGCCCACAATTTCATCTCACTGAGAAAGAAGTCAGTCAGGCCACGTAGGGGGAAATCAAGTCCCAGTTCCCGCCTCTGTGGGGATCAGAGGCCCACTTCGTTTGTAACAGTCCCGTGAAACAGGTTTGGAAACAATCGTCAGGCTGGAGGTGTAGCACGGCAGGACCGCTTCATCAGAGACCGCAAGGCCCAGGGTTGGAGTCCTAGCACTCGGGGTGGAGGGAGATCAGGATAAAACCGAAAACAGGACAAAACCAAGAAATGTGTCTCACCCCAGAGTTCTACCAGCTTCGAGAGGATGATAAAACATGTCTTCTGTGCAATTGGATCCGGATACTCAACGGCTCCTTGGATAATGGTGACCAACACCCGTTCCACGTTCTCTGCACCTGAGGAAAAAATTAGGCTTTAATTTCAAAAGCAAAAAACACAACCTGAAGCCCTCATTTTAATCTATGAGGTTGATAAAAATCCCTTCACTTCCTTTATAACCAAGCACCTAGTCCCTCAGCACAGAGAAGCCAGGGTTCTTTGGTTTTCTTGTCTTGTTTTGTTTTTCTCTTGGACCTTGCTGAGTAGACCGGGCTGGCCTCAAACTCATGACGTCTGCCTCCTTTGCCTTCCCAACGCGGGAATTAAAGGCGCCAGGAATGAGAATGGCCCCATAGGCGCATCTACTTGGGTGCTTGGCCCCATCGGTGGAGCCGTTTAGGAAGGAAGCCTGGCCTTGTTGGTGGAGATGTGTCACTGGGGTTCAGCTTTGACGTTTCCTAAGCCCACAACATCCTCAGTTGACTCTCTGCCTTGTGCCTATGCGCTCAACTATTGGTCTAGGACCACACCCTGCCTTGGTGGTCGTGGGCTCACCCTCTGTAACATAAGCAACAATAAGGCTTGTATTCTATAAGTTGTCTTGGTCATGGCGTCTCATCACAGCAACAGACAGGTAGCTCACCGGTCCCGTTTACCCCTCTTCCCTTCTAAGGGTGGCCCCAGTTACTGTGCAGCCGGGGGGGGGGGGGGTGGTTTGCACTTGGCTCTCTGGCCTCAGCCCCCAGATAAGTGCCATTACAAGCCTGCGCCACCACGGTTGGCCAGTGCTGTTTTCAACTGGCAAACTGGCCAGCAGGACTCAATTGTCCGGCCAACTCAGGCATGTGCTCACTACGCCACTTCCTAGCAATACAGAATACAGGAAAAGAGAAACTGAATACCGATTAATTTTAAGGTGCCCTACTCGCCTGTAACTAGTTTCTAGTCTTACAGTACTGAACAATCTTGGGGCCACCGTGTTTACTTTCGCTCACCGCTGATCACGGGGCATGCACCCGTAACAGGGACTTAAGCAGACACACACACACACACACACACACACGCACGCACGCACGCACGCACGCACACGCGGGCATGGCGCGCACCCTACCCTGATTGGCGATCACCTCGCTCATCCCACTGCCGGTGACGGTCTGCAGGAAGGCAAAGTAACTCCTCCTCAGCATTTGCTTCTCCAAGGCGGCCGACTGGTCATTGTCCTCTGCTGGTCTCAACAGCACTTCAAAAATGGCATGAAGCAGGGGCATGAACATCTGCTGTAAAAACGGGGACACCTGGATCTGCAAAGAAGAACAATTGTTACTGCACCCCAGGAGCGGCGAAGAAATGTACCCTAAGGGTTTGGGGAGCTGCGGGAAAACAGCTCTCTGTTGTCTACAGAGGGTATTTACCAACTCAGTAAATTTATGAACTACCCAAAAAACTCAATATTAAACTCAACATGTACAGGGCTGGAGAGAAGCTCAGGGGTTAGGAGCATTGGCTAGTCTTCCAGAGGACCCGGGTTCCATTCCCAGCATCCGCACGGAAGCCCCAGTAATGTCCGTTCCAAGGAATCTGATGCCCTCTTCTGGTTTCTCCAGGCAATGCATGTCCATGGTGCACAGCTATGTTCAGACCACACACCCACACGTAAGACTAAGTCTTCAGACGTTCACCTTGTACCTTACAATTTCGGTTGTATGGAAAGGCACTTCCTGTGCAAGCCTGGTGACCTGAGCTCCACCCCCAGAACCCATGAAAAGATGGCAGGAGAAAACTGCCTCCACAGTGTATACTCTGACCTCCATGCTTTGGCATGCGCATACACACATGCACATGCACACGAACACACGCACTCGCGCACACACACACACACACACACACACACACACACACACACTCTCTCTCTCTCTCTAATAAAAATTAAGGAAAAAAAAGAAAAAAGAAAAAATTTAAGATGAATAACAAGTGATCATAATCAAACCTGACCAAGAAATATTTTAAAATTTAAATTCCTAAGGGGGAGGGATACTAAGAAATAAATCTTGTAAAATTAAGCAAACATATATGACTTCCTTAACCTATCTGGGACCCAGTGCCCTTGTCTATAAGGCGGGATGTTTACCATGTAAGGCTATGAGGGGCGCAGAGCAACATCCAAAAACCATCAGGGCCGATTGCGAACCTAGAAAGCCCTGTGCAAGTGTTGGCCGTTGCTCTCCCTGGTCAGTTCAGACCTGGTAACGCCATGGCTTACTTCTAGACTCTTGTCCCAGCATCCAAGTCACAGGGCCGTGCATTCACAGCAAGAACTCAGCACTAGGCTTACTTGTTTTTCCTGGTCCTTCCCCCCCCATAGTGATTAGTATTTTCACTAAACATCTCCTGGGGGGCTGGAGAGAAGGCTCTGAGATTGAGAACACTTGCCGCTCTTGCAGAGGACCTAGGCCCTTCTCCAAGCACCCACACAGAGGCAGGCAACTCCATGTTCTAAACCTCCCGTTCCAGGTGACCCACTGTCTTCTGACCCCTTCGGGCACCGGGCATACGCATGGTGCACCTACATTCACGCAGGCCAAACGCTCATACTCATAACACAAATTATTCTTTTCAACCTAGAACTCTCTCTCCCTTCCTTGCCTTACCTGTGTAGCAGATGGCAGACTTTGGGAATGTTAGCCATCCCATGACCTATGTAACCAGGCCACTCAGGGTCATTTACAAGGTAAATGTGGGGATGAAGGGGTTTGGGATGCCAAGAGCTTTCTGCACACATGAGGACCTGAGTCTGAATCCCCAGGCCCCTGTTAACGACAAGCTGGGTGTGGTGATGCTCCCAAAGACAAAGGAGGACCACCAGGGCCTACTGGCCAGCCAGTCTAGCCCTATCAATGACCTCCGAGTTCAGTGACAGAGGCCAACCTGTGGCCTCCATGAGCGTGAGGAACCCCAGCTACACAACACACAGTATAGAGGACAAAGGCCAAAAGGTCTGCGGACGCACACGCCTGATTTTCAGTCTGCAGAGGGTGAGTGAGGCGGTGACAAGCATCTGGGCCCTGAGGGCCTGGGGTACCTTGAACTTGGCCGTGATCTGGTTGATGAGTGGGATGAACTCCTGGAGGTCCTTGGCTTCGCAGTCCTTCAGCATGTGCTCCGAGGCAGACGGGATGAATGGGAGGACCTCCTCCTCCAGGCAAATGATCATCCGGTGGAGGAAAGTCCGAACTCCGCTGCGGAGGATGTCCTTCTGTAGCGGACAGCTGAGGGCGGGCAGGAACGTCCGCAAACAGTCCAAGTAAACTTCGGAGCAGCCACACTGTTTCACAGTCTGCTTGTTGCTGAAAGCCTTGCTGGTTCGACTACACGGCCAGAAACCAGACAGACAACCAAGTTCAGTCTTACCCTGCCCAAGCGCAGAGTATTGGTACAATGCACAGCACCAAGAAACCAAGCATCTCCTGCCGCAGAATTACCTCCCTCCTTAGTTAACGGTTATGTGAAAATAACTGATTCCAGATGTCATCACAGAACAAACATTAAATAAATTAAGCAAATCAGATGTAGTTAACACAACCCGAGTCTGTCTCTCTGCTTCTCTAAAACCCTGACAAAGGCTTCAGGAAAACAAAGTATGACTAAGCCATTAGGCAGTCTGTATGTTTCACTACTCCTTAAGTTTAGAAAACAACTTAATGCAGCTGGGCAGTGGTTGCATACTCCTTTGATCCCAGCACTCGGGAGGCAGAGGCAGACAGATCTCTGTGAGTTCAAGGCCAGCCTGGTCTACAAGAATTAGTTCCAGGACAGGCTCCAAAGCCACAGAGAAATCCTGTCTCGAAAAACCAAACCAAACCAAATCAAACCAAACCAAAAAACAACCTAATGACGTTCACAGTCAAGTCACTCATATCCCAGAGGCCTGGTGTATACAGCGTAGGGTAGGACAACTTCCCAGAATAACTTGTTAGAATTATTATTAGGCTGCTTGGTGGTCTCTGGGACACAATGTAACAGCTAAGGAATCTCAGGACCTTGCCTTGAAGGTATCAACACTAAACCACAATGTCTTCGCATGCTGTAGGTACAGAAGCTTTGGCTAACCTGAAGCAGAAGACATTTTTACACTAAAGTCAGAAGCTGGAGTACTAAGGAGTTAGAGAGTCTTCATGGTAAAAATACAGCTAGCAAATGACCTGTCCTCTTCGCTAGCTACAGTTTAACTTACTGGAACTGAGCCTTGAAAACAGTTCAGCGCACCCATGCTAAAAAGACACACAGCAGAGGCTCTGCCTGAGAAGACACAAGTTCTCTTAATCTTCATTGCAACTGGGCTCACCTGGCAAATCCAACTGCATGGTTGAGACTGTCTGCAAGAGATGCCTGCCCCTCTTCATCCTGCGCCATCATCAGTTTCTCCAACAGAACCTTAAACCTCTCCATCAGTGGCGTCAAGAGGTCCTTCATCAAGGCCCGCTTGTTTTCCGCTGGGTAGTCACTGTTAACGATCAACGCGCCAGCTGTTTCGTAAATGAAGAGCTGATCGTCGCTGCTCAGCAAGGGCTGGTAACCATTCTCCTAGAACGGAGCAGTGTCTTAACTGAATGCTTATGTTCACTTAACTTAACCTCACTTAAACCAGAGTGAGCACGAGACACAGGAAATACAACCTACTACATTGGCTCATATACCGAGCATTCACAAAAAATGAAATTTTTGCTGTGTGGTGGTGGCACACACACCTTTAACCCCAGCACTTGGGAGGCAGAGGCAGGTGGATCTTGAGGCCAGCCTAGACTACAAAGTGAGTTCCAGGAGAGTCAGGGCTGTTATACAGAGAAACCCTATCTCGAAAACCACAATATGTATATATCCATACACACAGGCAGGCTTGCGCGTGCGCACACACGCACGCACACGCACACACACCATGTATTTATAAATTCTCAACTAAAATCCTTTTAGTGAAGTGAATACTCATACAATTTTTTTTTTTTTCCTCCAAGACAGGGTTTCTCTGTGTAGCTTTGGAGACTGTCCTGGAACTCACTCTGTAGACCAGGCTGGCCTTGAACTCAGAGATCCACGTGCTGGAACTAAAGGCGCGTGTCACCACTGCTCAGCTATGACAGAATTTTTTAAACACTAAGTCTGAAGACAAAAACTTCAGTGTTAAGTGGCACCAAGAATGACAAATGCGATCACATTAGAGAAGAATTTAGAAGTTGATCTCTTTCTTTCTCCACTAAATAGTTCAGCCACATTTAGCAGCACAGAGAAATGAGAACAGACTCTACATTGCCAAATCCCTTCCATTATGAATATGCTTGTTGTAAAAACAATCTCGGTAAAGACCCAAACAATTTCACACACACACACCTCCCCACCCACTTGTTACAAGCAAGCGAAGCCAGAGAGGGTAAAGCTTGTTATCATATCGGCAAAAGACACCCGGAAAATACTTACAGGTGGAGAAAGGGTTAGCAAGTCTTGTATTCTATTCAAAATGTCCTCAATGAAAGGGTTCATTTGTTTACTGAATGAAATCAAGAGGAAAACCATGGGTAAGTTATGTGCTCACAAGCTGCTAAGTATCAACCCCGCATTTAAAACAGAAGGACCCAAGGCTCAGTTTTACGGTAGCCAATCTGATTGTGAGCAATTTGAAAAGTCTACCTGCTCTGTTCTGTAGTGATGTATTGGCAAGACGATGCCCCTACTAGTACTTTTCACCGGGGGTGGGGGTGGGGGGTGGGGAGGGATGATTTATAAAGATACTGCATACGGGGCTGGAGAGATGGCTCAGGCTAAGAGCACTGGCTGCTCTTCCAAGGACCCAGGTTCAATTCCTAGAAACCACATGGTGGCTCACAGCCATCTGTAGTGGGATCTGATGCCTTCTTCTGTCGTGCAGGCATACATACAGAACACTCATACATTAAAAAAAAAAAAAAAAAAAAAAAAAAGGCCTATATAAGAGTAAGTTCCAGGACAGCATCCAAAGCTACAGAGAAACCCTGTCTACCAAAACCAAAGGAGAGGGGGGAAAAACAAAAAAACAGAAAACCAAAACCAACCAAACAAACAAAGAAGCTAGCACATACAACACATCATGTTAAAAATGACTTGCAAGCCGGGCCTCATGGGGTATCTATAAACCCCAGTACTGGGGAGGTAATGCAATGAGAAGTTTGTCATCTCCGGGGACAAAAAAACATGCACACTGGCCTAGAGAGAGGGCACAGCAATTAGATGCATTTAACTAAATGCATTGCTGTGCAAACCTCATGTCGTGAGTCCCATACCTGGGTCCCAGTGGGAAAGCTGTACCTCTACACCCAGCACACAAAGAGTAATACATAAGCCTATAAAACAATATACTAATCCTCTACACACAGCACACAAAGAGTAATACATAAGCCTATAAAACAATATACTAATCCTCTACACACAGCACACAAAGAGTAATACATAAGCCTATAAAACAGTATACTAATGCACACAATTGCATAAAAACATGCAAGCAAGCCATCTGTCAGTGCCGAACGCAGTGACGTCAGTCAGCAGGGAAAGAAGCCCTACTCGAACGCCCACCCAGTGCACTGTCCCCGCAGGAGGAGCCGCGTCTACCCTCAGCCACCCCACGTGCACGCTTCAGGCACAGCGCTCGCTGAAAGGCGGTACTTACTTGAGAGACTTGACAAATCTAGAAAACAGGTAGGCGGTTCTGCTCCTGACTTTAGCACTGGAATGCCACAGACCCCTGTGATCTAAGAAAGCCATCTGAAGAGAGAGACGCTAGTCATTTCCGTTCTGATTCGAGGACTTCACTGTCACACTGCATTTCTAAAACTGTACTTCTCAGGCGGGACCGGGAATGTTATTTTATACAGATAGGCTCTTAAGGACTTGATTTACATAAAACTACCACCCAGCGTTTGTTAGTTGGGTAAACTTTTGACTCTGAAAAAAGTTACAGAGAACAAGGGCAGAATACTGTCTGAGCAATGGAGAGCGGAGTGTGGTGCACACTTACCAGTACACACGGAATGTGCTGAGGTTCAACTGTGAAAAACTTTTCGTATCGAACGACAGTTTCAAAGAACTCCAGCGTCACAGACGTGTGCTGGTAGGAGCTGACTCCTGACGTCACCAACTGGAAAGGGGGAAAAAAAACCCAGGAGACCCGGTGTTGTTTACTGCAGCACCCACGGCTCCCTCTGTAAAAACAGACCAAGCTCTAACAATTACGAAACCTCTGTGAGCGCACAGCATAACACAAAGAGCAAGTCACGTGAACAGCAAAGGACCCTCAGTATACCTACCGTTCGCATCATGTCCTGCAAAGCACTAGCTTTTGAAACGTCACCTGAGAAGTGAGCACCGTGTGACACTGGGAGGGCTTCTGCCAGCATGTACAGCAACCTCACGGCCACTTCAACTTCCATGAAGCGTGTAGTCTGCCAGTTCCTACCAAGGCATGAAAGTGTGTGTCTGTGAGAGCCCAACGTGTGCGCGCTTGTCATGTAACTCATGACTGACACTCAGGACAGTGGCACAACAAACGTCTTTCAGGGGTACAGCCACGGGTGAGGTGCCCACACTCCTATTACCACCCCCAGTGAAACCCGCTGGTCACCAAAGCAACAGGATGACAAGAGGAAGCAACCGTGTTTTTTTGGGGGGGGGGTGTTTGAAAATGGCTGAAACACATTAAGTGCATGTATGGAAACAGCCCCATCGTTAATGAAAATCACTTTTAACAATGTCTTGAATGATTAAAAAGTCAAACCATTTTTTTTTTCTGGTCAAGCAATGTAGTGTATACCACAGAGGTAGAGGAGAGGCAGACACAGGGAGGCAGCAAAATTGTTGGCAGAGATGCATGCCGAGCACTGCACGACTCATTTGCTGCAGGCGGGGCACAGCAGGAGCTGAAGAGCTTGCGCCAACAGAGGACACTTACTGCAGGGCGGCACGGAACACTCTGCGGACAGAAGCCAGCACTAGCTCCGGTGACACCTGAGCAAGCCTGTCCAACAGCAACTTCAGTTGTTTTCTGTATTCTACAAACATGGCTTCATCTTCACCCTGCGACACAAGTTGAGAAGCCCGGTTTACGGTGCCATCATCAAGATGGCGCGGCGGTTAGAAGCACTTGATGCCAGAGCCCGAGCGAGGGCTGCACTCCTTACCTGCAGCCCAGGGCGGGAGGGGGAACTGCCCAAAGCTGTCCTCCAACCTCCACGGCTACACCCTGGCCCACCCTCACGACAGCGATACATATGCATGTGAGACTTTAAATTTACACGAATGGTCAGTCCATGTGTACCTTTTCTCTTTGGACAGAAGAGTCACGGATGCTCAGTAGCACTTCCCTAATTAGTAATTCCCAAAATAACCTTAGCCATCAAATGCCCGGGCCACACACAGCCTACGGAGGGCACAGGGCTGACAGAGCACAGCCAGTACGGGTCCACGTTAGGCTCCAAGTCTTGCCTGTTGTCCTGAGTCATTCCCCCTTCATTCCCACAAAGCGCTAACAGGGCTACACTGGGGCTAACGGGCTGGTTATCATCACCGTTATCCTGTGACAGCACACACCTAAGCCACTCAGGAAGCACTGGGCAGCCCTACAGCTAGTAGGAAGCGATCCTCTCCTGACCCTGGACAGACTTTCAGACGAACAAGTCCAGTTAAGCCCCATTTCCATCCTCCCCCACTGACTGAGCCTTGATCCAGCACTCTTAGTAAATGTGGCCTAATCACCAATGATACTGTCAATGGTAAGTTCAACGTTACAAAATCTAGGGCCTGAATGTAGCAAGCAAAGGCTCTACCATTGAGCTATATTCCAAACCCTGCAAAAAAAAATTTTTTTAATTTTTTTTTAAGGACCTTTTTTGTTTGTTTTGAGACAGGGCCTTACTCTGTAACTCAGCATGAAGTCCAGGCTGGCTTAACAGTTACGGCAGTATTTTTGCCCAAGGCTGCCAACTGCTGGAGTTTCAGGCATGTGCCATGGAACCCAGCTTACATGATTCTGTATGTATGCACGTGTGCACACCGACAAGAGCTCGGTCAGGCTCAGGTACTGTGTTCGGGCGCTGGCTACCTTTCGTTCTCCATGGCGAGGCTGGGCTGGCTAGCCACTATACCCCAGGGTTCCACTGACGCTCACCTTCCTAGCTCTGGACGGGACCACCAAACCCAGCCGTCTACAGTTACCACACAGATCCTGATATTTCCCACAAACACTTTACCTAAGGAGTCCCCTCTCCAACCCCTCAGACAGCAAAGGACTCAGGTCTCTGTAAGTGCTACCTAAAACTGACATTAATATAAATAACTACACCAGTATAAACAGGACCGATTTAAAGCACTACTTCTTGTTTTAAAAGGCTCTAAAATACAAAATACTAATTCAATGGAAACAGGCAAACAAACAAACAAACAAAAAACCCCCAAAAAACCCAGCTTTTCTTTGATGTGAAATTACTTACTTCATTTTCAAAGTTATATTCTTCATCATAAGTCAATTTTTTCATTACGGCCAACATGATTGCCTAAAATTAATGAGGAAGTAACGTTTATTAATTGTTCTTTTTCATCTGGAAGTTGAGCTACATTGCAAGGGGGATTTCAGACAAAGAAGTGGTCAGCCTTGGATGGGCATCTGTATGGCTCACGCCAAGGCTCAGGGAGTCTCATGAAGAGGGGCAAAGGGAGGCAGAGCCGTGTACAAAAGAGGCTACCCAGGCCTCTGGACAAACAACTCACAAGCCCTAAACTCAGCGGGTTCACTAAGCCCCTCCCTCCCCAGGGCGGGGCACTCGGGAAGGGGCTGCTGGGAGGACACTCCACCACTGCAGCCTCTGGCAGTAGCACCCAAAGCTGGGGTGGGCTCTTCCACGGTGACCTGCCTCTCTCTGCTCGCCCACCCTCACCGTCGGGTAAAGAACCCCAGCTGACTCACTGACTTGGGGGAAGAAAAATCTATCTGGTTTAAAGAAACCACTTACCTCTATATTAGCTTTCTGCTGATCCGAGAGCACCGAAAGCTTAAAATAAAAAGCCAACAATAATTTATTTCTAATGCTATACTTGCTTATCGAAGTATTTTTCTAAGCAATTACTATCTTCTAAAACACACACACAGGAGCTGGTGACACAGTTACAGCGTAGAACATTTTCCTGGCATGCACAAGTCCCTGGGTTCAATCTCCAGTACAAGAAAATAAAACAAACACATTTCTGCTGAGTAGTTTGACAGCAAACCTATAGTTAATCCATTCCTCAATTCAGACATAATCATTTCATGCTTAGTAATAACTTGACATGCAGGCAATACTAAGATTAATTTGATGAAACTATTTATCATGTACTTAGAAAGAATGAAGCTATAAGGCAGAAAATGGTGCTTTTGTTGTTTTGAAACAGGGTCTCCGTAGATGGCTATGCTTAGCCTGGAAGTCACTATACAGATCAGGCTGGCCTTGAGCTCACAGAGATCTGCCTCTGCCCCACCAACAGTTGAGATTTAAGGCGTGCATGACCATGCTCAGCTTCTTAAAGCAAAGATCCCAGATCCCACAATCCTAAAAACCCTCAAGTTCTGCAGGGAAACAGCTACATTTCTAAGGATGCAGGCAGCTTTGGGGTGGGAGGTGGCAGGGTGACAGGGACTGTCTAGCACATTCCTGGGTTCAGCTCCAGCACCGTAAACAAAAGCTAATACCGAAGACAGGGCGGTGGGGGATGGCTCAGCGAGTAAAGCGCCTGCTGCATAAGCAGGGGACCCCAAGTTCACATCCCCAACGCCTGTGTAAGCCAAGCATCTGACACACATGGGCAGCAGGATGTGGACACACATGCGCACACAGGACTCTAAGGCTCACCGACCAGCCAGCCTATACTGTCAGTGCGCTCCAGGTTCAGCAAGGGCCCTGACTCAAGCCTGACACTGAGAAATGAATTGGGAAGACAACCCACACTGACTCCTCGTCTTTACACTCTCACGCACACAGGCTCACACATGCAGACACACATACAAATGAAGAAGGCTACACTCCTCTCGCAAAGAACTTACTGTGAGCTTAAATGAGTCAATTAACCCAATATAAAGCCAACCTAAAAACTCTGGGGGAGAACTGAGCTGATCGGTCTGCTCAGCTATCAACCCCGCGTACAACGGCATCACTGGCCGCGCAGAAGGTGCCTACTGATAAAGGGGACATCAACCACTCTCAAACTGGACTTGGGGCACACCCCAGTACTGCAGGTACTGGGCCCCAGACTGAGGCTGAGGCTGGGGAAGTCACGAGCCAGAGAGGAAGCCACTGCTGTGCCCTCAAATCACCTTCTGAGTAGCTATGCTACGCCCACAGCGCTGCAGTCAGCGATAGTCAGAGAAGCCCGACTTCTCGGTGGGCGGCGGTAACTGCAGAGGCTCATAAACCATCAAAGCACTAAGAAGGTGTAACCTCGAAGGAGGAAGAGCGAGCCATCCACATTCTGACACGATTGTTGTGGAAAGGGCGGGTGGAGGGGGTGGAGTTCAGGAGGCCCTGTCCGTCCCTGAGGACCTGCTATGGTTTCTAGGGAACAGGGAGGAAAGTTCTTCATTCACGCAGCCGCTGGTTAAGACGCCCACGCTCGCTCGTGTGTAGGAGCAACCCCTCACCTACCCTCCCATAAACAGCTGTAGTGAAACGATTAAAATCCAACCCCAGAGGACACCAAAGCAGAGGACCAGAGAGGAGAGACGGAGGTACCGGGAGGAGCCGGGGGGGGGGGGGGGGGGGGGGGGGGGGGAGACGCGGGACGACACGGACACGATGTCCACAAGGGGGCAACAGAAGACAAATATGATTGAACTATACTATATACATACATATAGAATGAAGCACAACTGGCACAAACTAACAAAAGCAAGAATGGTCTGTCATTTAATGTCACAATGAGAAGTAACTAATCTTTGAGGCACTTCACCCTCTCTCTCTGTGTTCTCACTGGGAAACAACCATCAGGAAAGAATTTAAAGCCGTTGCCATGCTTAGAGATAAACACAGGGTTAGAACATCAGAAAGAGAACAGAGAGACTCCCAGGCCGCCTTTAGGACTTATGAACGCATTATGTCCTTTCAGGCAAGGGACTCATGTTGCTCATGGCTGGCCTTGAACTTGCCACGTGTGGAGCAGACGGTGGTGAACCCTTTCCCTAAATGCTAGGATCACAGGCTGGCTCACCAAGTCTGACTAACATAAAATAAATTACATCTGCACAAGGATTAGGGGTATTTGGGTATTTTCTTTTTACTTTTTCTCCATTTTTACCGGCTCTTTACACATCTACTGGACAAGAGGGACAAAGCAATGGACTCACCTGCTTCAAAATATGCAGATAATCATAGCAAAATCCGACAATGTTGGAGGAGATGTCGTCATCCTCGTGAATGAGCAGCTGTAACATGAGCGGTACTTTTGTCTCGATGGCTTCGAGGGCCTCTTGCGCACTCACGGCAGCCCCGTTCTTAATTAACTTCGTCCAGCTAACTATTAAGGACTGTCCCATGCCATTTACCAGCTTAGAAAATCTGGCCACGAAGTCCAAATCTTCTTCCTATGAGCAGTGAGCAAAGAGCACAGTTACAACCACCAGCCTCAGGGGAGAGGAAGCTCTGACCTCAGCATGAATGTGGTGCCAATCACAGGGGGCACTCTCCAAAGACAGTATTGCGTGAGCTGCGTGTGACGTGGAGGGTCAGTGTGGGCATGCACGTGCCAGTCTCAGGGCCAAGGTTTCCCCTTCCAGCTGGGATGGATTTCAGAAATGAGACTCGGGTCACTAGGATCAAGGTAAGGGTTTTTATCTGCTGGGCTTTTTGCTGGCCCCAAGGCTCAATGTTATGACAACAGCTGCCAATTCCATCATTACGCCAGGAAAATGATCAGAGTTTGAATTTTCCCCTACCATTATAATCTGACAGTACTCTAAAAGCAACTGTGCGTTATTTCTTTTAGAGAGACACTTTGTACGATTGGTGTTTTGCCTGCGCCTGTATCTGTGCTACACGCATGCCTGGTGCCGAGACACCAGAAGAGGGCGCTGGACTCCCAGGAGCTGTAGTTGCAGCCTCTGGGAGAGCAGCCAGTCTTGGAAACTCCAGAGGCATTTCTGTATCCCTGCAACTGTGGTTGCAATGATAGTCTTACGGATATCACCAATTGGGGGGGGGGGGGATGAAAAGGGAAAAAGACCTTAAGTAAAAGGAAGTTTTAGGGCCGCCATCCCTAACTGTTCAGCTTCCTAAGCATGGCGATGAGGTCGATGCTGACACTCTGCAGTCATGACTTAGGCCTCAACCTCCCTTCAAAGACAGAGCTGCTGCTACAGCGGCCACTTCGAGTCACAGTCACTGCCGATGCTATAGGCAGACCCCATTATTTTCGTCAGTTAACCATGGGCTGCTCCCCCACAGACAGAGGCTCTACTTGTTTAGATTCCTTTTCTTAAAGAGCCCCAGATAGTAAAGTAAGACAACAGAAGGAAAATACAGCCACCTTCAGTGCATGAGGAAGGAACCTACTAAAGCCATGCTACTGACATTATCAACCTGAGTTCCATCCTCGGGCCACCTGTTGGAAGGAGGGGGGTGATTCCTGTAGGGTGCCCTCAGAGTTCCCTTCCCAAGTGCACTCTGGTGTGAGTGCACACACTCCAACATGTTCACACACTCACACACGTGCACACACTCAATAACTGTAAGAAAAACTCAAAGTTGTCTTTGGCTAAATCTGGAATGCCATCACAGCTTAGGTGCCGCTCAGTGACAGGAAGCTTTGGGAAGCTTCCGCCCCATTCCTTAGTACACAAACAAGACCAAGATGCCTCCCCATTAGCTAAGGTATCAGCTCACCACTGAGACTCATCACTCTCTGATTAATTAAAATTCAAGCAAGCAGAAGAGAAGGCTCAGGGCTGTGAGAGCATTGTCTCTCTTCCAGAGGACCTGTACCCACACGACAGCTTATAACCACCTGTAACTCCAGTCCCAGGGGCTCTGAAACTCTCCTTTGTCAGGGATACAAGTGATGCATAGACAGACAAGCAGACAAAACATGCATACGCATAAAGTAAAAATAAGTGTGGAAATTTACTTTAAAATTCAAGTCTACAATGAAAATGAACCTTCTATGGTTACCAGGTCTAACCTGGGCCAAATGCAGCACTATGGTGTAAACGCTGTGTTTCTTGCTACTCGCGGCATGATCAACACTGCGAACTTGCAAACTGCACGCACCATTCTGATAGGAAAGTGTCGGTCAGAATGGGCGAACCAAGTGTGCAAGGAAAACGCCACAGATATTAGTTAGGCCTCTCGGAATATAGCGGCTTACTGTCAGCTCAAGGACACCCCCAAAACTCGAGGGGGGAGAAAGTCCTATTACTTCCGTGCCTGTGACAGTTTTCAAAGCTTGCATGTAAGAGATGCACTGGCCTGGTCAATGCTGAAGAACCCGGCGGTCTGTAACACCTGGCACAGGGACTCCACCAGCTTCATCTTGTCCACAGGGTCCATCCCTTTATTTACAATCTCAAACAAACAGTCGCAGGCTTCTTCCCGCAGAACTTCTACCGACATGTGTCCTAGCAGCATATTTATAAACCTGGTGATGGGGATAAAGACATTAACGTTTTTAGTTCACCAGTGTTAGACAGCAACGCAAGTCTTCAGTGCACAAGTCACAGGCGTACGCACCTATCATTGGCTATAAGGGATAAGTCTATCCAGGAGACGTAAGCCCCAACGACTTCAAGGCACTGGCACAGTACTTCTGAATTAGTATACTGGTAGTTGTGTAAAATCTGGTACCACGATTCCACCAGATTCGGAATGCACTGTTCTCTCATGGTATCTTTTATCAGAGTATTCCTGCGAGCTTCCTAAAAACACAAAAGACAAGGATATTAGGACACAGCGCCAGACATCCAAGTACAGCTGCACACAGTGACTTCCTCTACACGAAACCTCCAGGCTTGCGAGGCAGTCCCCGCCACGGCTTCCTATTTATCTGCTCTAAAATTACATCCTGTGATTCTTGGGGTTTCCTCTTCCGGTCTATTCCTTGGTGCTAGACTTCATTCACTAAATACAAACTATAAACAAGCATTGTTTAGAAATTAGAACCATGTGAAATTATTTCTAAATACCATACAAAAATGACACTTAAGCTATCTAGAAAAGGACGGCAATGACTTCGATGTACAGTAGTTGCGATCACCTAAAAATATCATACACATTTGAAGCTATTGCCAGTGGGGGATTTTGTTTATGAGATAGGGCTCTCCGTATGTAACTCAGGAGAGCCTCCAACTTGAGGCCACCCTACCCCAGTTTGCTAAGCGAGCTAAAATTCCCACATTCTTTACCAATTACTTTTATATTGAAGCACCAGAGATCAAACTCGGGGTCTCCTGCACACCAGGCAGGGCTCCCTTATTTCATAGGCAGTTTGTACCTACTTACGTTAGGAATACGCTCGACTAAGGCTGCACTGCACCCCAGTCATGAAGATTCCTTGGCACTACAGTAAATTACTAGCCCCACATAACAGACAGACAGACAGAAGGCAAAACAACGTGTACTTGACTGGTGTCCATACCGCCTTAGTTTTAAAATCTCATGTTGTGCTCTAATTTCAGTCTTCATCGGTGAGAGGGGTTAAATTTCACTGTCGGCCAATTCAAGATGCTAGGTACATTTGTAATTAAAGTACATGCAAGAGAGTCAGGCAGGATGACCAACACCTTTAATCCAGAGGTGGTCGGATCTCTGTGAGTTCCAGGACAGCCAGGGCTCCACAGAGAAATACGTCTTGGGGTGGAGTGGGGTGGGGAGGGGGCAAATAAATAAAAAGAACATGCAAAAGATAAAGACTCCTGGGCTAGAGAGACGGCTCAGCAGTTAAGAGCACTGACTGTTCTTCCAGAGAACCAGGGTTCAATTCCCAGCACCCACATGGCAGCTCACAACTGTCTGTAACTCCAGTGCCAGAGGACCTGACAACTTCACACCAATGCACATAAAATAAAGTTATATAAATTATTTTTTTTAAAAAATCCCTGTCCTTTTCATCGTATGCTCATTTTTCCTATAAAACACGGGAAGTTACTCGCCTCTGATGTGTGAACCACATCGCGGTCCACCAGCTCTGAGTCGATGGCCATGAGGATGCGCAGGTACAGGTCCACTCCCCTGGGGTTTAGGTTCACTACCGAGAGAATGTCAAAAAAAAACTTGGGCCATTTAGTGAGATACTCTGTAACAAAAAGCAAGGCGAAGACTTGGGCTGCTTTATTTCGTATGAAGGTCTTCTCTGGCTGTGGGTTCAGCATCTGGCAAACAGAAATAGCCATGAAGTTAATTACATTAGTTTTTTTTTTTTTTTTTTTTTTTTTTTTTTTTTCTATTTTTCATCAGTTTGAAAAAAAAAAAAAAAAAAAAAACAATCGTTAACACTGATTAGTGGTACCACAGCAAACTGCAAAATTACCCACTCGTGCAAGTGAGTGGTCATGAGGTGAGCCCGTGAATAACGACTGCCTCTTAGAATCTGTATTTTCCTGCAGCGTTGGGGATCAATCTGTATGCTACTCAAGCATTCCACCAGAGATCAGCCCACCCTTACCTCTCCCCTGGGGGGGGTGATAGGGGGCAGGGGGCCCTATGCCTGTTTTGGGTCAGAGTCTTCCTTTTCAGCCCAGGTTGGCCTCACTCAGAGGGATCCACCTGACTTTCTGCCTGTGTGGGATCAAAGGTTTGAGCCACCAGGCCCAGCCCAGGCCTTGTTTTTATGTGACAAGGTCTAGTATGCAGCTCAAGTTGACCTTTAACTTGTTTAAACTCCAGGCTGGCTTCAAAATCACAATCCTCCTGCCTCTGCCTCCAAGTATTGAGATATAAGCATGAACCAAGGTTTGTTTGCTTCTTCCTTCCTTCCTTCCTTTCTTCCTTCCCTCCCTCCCTCCCTCCCTCCCTCCCTGAGACAGGGTTTCTCTGTGTAGCCCTAACTGTCCTGGAACTCACTGTGCAGACCAGGCTGACAAGAGAGATGTACCTGCCTCTGCTTCCTGAGTGCTGGGATTAAAGGTGTGCACCACCACCACCACCACCACCACCACCCAGACCACTGAATTTCTTCTAAGAAAAAAATTCAATTGTTTTTCTTTTGCTGGACTGTAAAGGAAAACAGTCTAACTACGTTCGCAACTTTATATGTTAAGCTTAACTAAAAGTAACCAAAATAAATATGCTGTGAATGAACAACTCTCCTAGCCTTTTAAAAGGGCCTTTGTAAAGAGGCTGTCGACACAGGCAACTGGTGAGAACCAAACAAAGATGCAGGTAGGGTTCCAGAGTTTAATAATACCATAAACACCAGGGGCTAGATGGCTTAGCAGTTAAGTGCTCATGCAGAGGACCTGAGTTCGGTTCCTACAGCCCACAACGGGCAGTTCACAGCCACCACAACCCAGCTCCAGGAGTCTACCACCCACTGCTGGATCCTATGGGTGCCTGCAATCAGGTGCACATACCTGCACACAGAAATACGCACATACACGTAACGAAAAAATGAAAAGCTAAAAAGAAATATTTTTAAAATGAATTACCTATTTTTTTTTTTTTTTTTGTTTTTTTTTTTTTTTTTTTTTTTGTTTTTTGTTTTTTGTTTTTCAAGACAGGGCTTCTCTGTATTGGTTTGGAGCCTGTCCTGGAACTAGTTCTGTAACTCACAGAGATTCACCTGCCTCTGCCTCCCGAGTGCTGGGATCAAAGGTGTGCACCAAATAAATCACTTTTTATAGTCAAGGTTCAACTAGGTGTGGTGGCAGTGCCTTTAACCCTGGCAGTTGGGAGGCAGAGACAGGTGTACCGGGCCAGCCAGGGCTACAAAGTGAGACCCTGTCTCCAAAAAGAAGTTTCCATAACATGTTATGGAAGGTACAATGGGTTTGGTTATTAATACAATTTAAATTATTATTGCCAAGGCCAGCACTTTAAGTACAGGAGAAGATGCGGCTGGCCAAGGTGCCAAACAAACCAAATGCAAAGAACTGTTTTACCTGAGCTTGAAGCCACGACAGAAGCGTCTCCCTGATCAGCTGTTGCTGAGCTGTGCTGAGCTCCGAGTACCTGTTAAAGGGATGAGAGTGAGCGACAGACTACTTTGCTGTCTGTGGCTTTGAATGCAAATCTCATCTATCAACAGTTTCACGGCATCCCCGTACCGGGTTGCCTAAAATACACAACTGCAAAGAACGAACAGATGAGCCTGACAGATAGGGCCACAGCCAGCCAGCTCAGATTTGTGGCTCAGTTCACACTCAAGCAAATGACAGCTACGTGAGTTTTAAAAACCAGCCATGCATTGTGGACTGTGGAACACAGAGTGAGCCTGTAAACTGGCTAGCTCCATCTAAGTAATTCAAAACACATTCGTAGCCCAGATACAATTATTACACTGGTAGTTTGCTATCTGTACTCTGACTTCCTCAAGGACAGAAAAACAAACTAAAACACGGCTGTTTCAACAAATCTTTGAGATTAAAAACAATGAAAACGCTTACTTGTATTTAACTTGATGTTCTAGTACTTGGAAGCAGAAAAACTTTATGTGATCATCACTGAAAGAGCAAAACAGAGAAGTCAGATAATCAGAGAATAAATTGGGGGGGGAGGGAGAACAATGGCAAAACACCAGTAACAACCGCAAGGGTTCTAAAGCTAGGCTTCCTGCCTGGCTGTCTACCTGCAATTCCATTTTACTCACTTTTATTGCTATCTTTTTTGTTTCATGGCACTGGGTATCTAACTCAGGGCTTCATGAATTACAAGCAAAGGCTTCACCAACCAGCCACAGGCCCAAGCCCTGGGTTCAAAGGGTTAAGAGCTCTCTAAATACACAACGCATGGCAGAACCCTTAACACGTCATAAGCGACATAGTCTCATGCTCGGTACGCGCCCTCAACACAGCACGGTGTAAGTAGCGGCCACTGCCCCAAATTCTAATGTGTAGAGTCAAGGTTTCTGCAAAAACTTCCGTGCTTAACCTTAGGTACAGTTAGGAAGATGTAAGATGCAAAACAGCACAGCAGTAAAAGACTGACCAAACCAAGGATGCAGTCTACGGCCTACCTGAAATGTAGGCATTGGTCAGTCCTCATCTCTTACAGGCAGACTCAACATAAACAGGGTAGGAGCACTCAGTCCGCCCTCACAGTTCACACAAGAAACTAAACTACAAGTAAACCCACCTGTGTACAATGGGAGAAAACAAACAAACAAAAACCCAACAGCCATCCACTGTCTAACTCCCTCTAGGGGTAACACAGCCAACTATTCTAACAAAATTCCTCTGGAGTCCAGGGATCTGCTCAGTCCGGATGGAGGGTGTGCGAGACAGGCTTTGTGAGGGGACACTGTCTCCTAAGTAAGAGCAGTCCAACGAGGAATGCAGACACTCCAAGATGTTGAAGAAAAACAAGACTCAGTAAACACAGCAGGCTGCAGGCAAACAGGACTATGGGTCCAAACTCCATGCAGAGGGCCATCACTAAAGCCGAGAGTCTTTCTGTTCCCATCAGCCGGCTGCCTGTGTCCTGCTGCCTGGCTCTTTTCCACGAGCTTCAACTATGCCGAGTTTTCTTCCTTAACAAGAAGCTACCTTAACTCAGGAGGCAGTGAGTATAATGGCTTCTATTTCCATGAAACTGTGTTTGCTGCATGAGAAAGACTGCCCAGATTGCCTCCCCGTGCAGCAGGGGAAGGCGTTCCACGAATGCTGTGTGTCAGTAATCAGAGGACCGAAGAGCCGCCGGGAAAGAGGGGTGAGACCCTGCTTTCGCCCTTCCTGAAGTCGCCTCAGAGGCACATGCTGGAAACGTCCCCGGTGGACCTTATTATGAGTGTCATCAACAGGACCGTGGTCCCAACACCAAAGAATAGTAACGGAATAGTGATATACTCTAAGTGAAAACTTTAGATTAAGTTGTCATTAGTGACCGCCTCCTTCAGCAACTTCCAACAGTAAGACAAGGACATGTTTACTGCAGCCTATTCCAGGGCACAATACACATAAAGAAGAGGATAGTTTGGGCTGGAGAGATGGCTCAGCGGTTAAGAGCACTGTTCTTCCAGAGACCTGGGTTCAATTCCCAGCACCCACATGGTGGCTCACAACCATCAGTAATTCCAGGGTCCAACACTCTCAACACAGACAGGCAAAACACCAATACAACAAAAATAGATAAATTTACAAAAACAGGAGATAGTTTTACTGAAAAATCACTTCAGGACTGGCTCAAAAATTGGTTTGGTTTGGGGGGGGGTGGACCCAAAAACAAACAAAAAACAAAACAAACAAAAGAAAAAGCTGAGCATTGGTGGCACACAGCTTTAATCTCAGCACTGGGGGAGGCAGAGGCAGGTGTACCTCTGCGAGTTCGAGATCAGTCTGGTCTCACAGCTAGTTCTAGGACAGACTCCAAAGCAACACAAAAAACCAATCAATCAACCAATAAATAAATAAATAAAATTGGCTTGCTATTTTCCTCTTTTCATGCTAATAACAGTTTTCTAAAGAGCAAGCCACAAAATGTTTTTATGAAAATACTTTCCCAAGAGAAACTTAAAATGCTTCATGTTCACAGTCTACAGACATTTGCCTTTATTACCTGTATGTCTTCTGTGCCAAAGCCTCTGCGCACACCTGCCAGGCATCTGGGGAAATCTTCAACTGCTCAAAATATGCCAGGGCCTGAAAGATTGCAACACAAAGCAACACGGTTCTGAATTCTGATGCCCTATGCATACTAAACAAAGTGTGGAGCGAACCAATAATCAAGAGGGATCTGGGTTTAATATGTCAGTGAAACACCCAACCTAGGCTTCCAAATATGTGCAAAGTCCAGATGGTTCCCAGAAATAGACCAGTGACCAGTTATCAGACACCCACAACAGTTTCTCTGTGGTAAAGGAGATGCTGCAAGAAACGACCTGCGGGTATCACCGGGTTATGAAGATGGCAAAGAAATATAAATGCCCAACAGCTTATCACGTGCAATATTAAGGCACCTACAATCGTAGAGGGGTCTATGGAGGGCGCACAAAGCACGGTGTAAGTAAATGCTAAACAAAAACGCACAGAACTTCCTGGCCAGTGACTGATCTAGGACGGACAGAGGGTAGCGGGTGAGAGGGGAGAGAGGAGCCACTCTCTTTAACAAGCCCTACCTTCTAGGCTAGTGAGCCCTTTCCGGTGCTAGGAGGGAGGCGCAAGCACACAGAAGCCTTGGCCCTTCTCACAGTCTCTTCCATTTGGCTGGTTCTGAGCTGTGTCCTTTATGTCAAGCTGGCGTTACTAAGGACACTGCATTTCATACTAAGGACACTGCCTTTCTGAGTCCTGACTCCCTGTAACCAATTATCAAATCTGCAAAGGACTTGGTCTTCTTCCTTCATTTAGCAGGCAGACATCAGAGGCACAGATGGGCCAGGCGGTGGTGGGACATGCCTTTAACCGCAGCACTTGGGATTAAAGACGTGCGCCACCAACACCTGGCTCAGATGATCTGGGTTTACAATTCTCATCTCAAGTGGAGGCCAGTCTTGGGAGACCTGACCCTAATCCTTAGTAATGTCAGAGTTGCTATAAAACCCACAACTACCACTGGGAATATTCCAGGAGCTAGGACAGTGAACAAATGAAGTCACTTATCCATGTGGCTAATATTCCACTCACAGGAAAGCAGCCCAGGTGGTAGGGTGCTGCCTAGCATAGGGCCCGGGCTACATCCTAGGCAGCGAATAATCAGGTGTGGCCGAGCCTGCCTGTTATCTAGGTACTTGCAAGTGTAGATGGGGTGGGGAACAAACCTCAAGGTCATTCTCAGCTGCCTATCAAGTTTGAGCTAGCTTGGGCTACACTCTGTCTCCTGTCTCAAACAAAACAATGTAACAGAGCTAGCAAGAGAGCGCTAGTGTGTGAGTTTTCATTCCCAGAGCCCACCTGGTGGAGGAAACAGACTTCTGTCCTCAGAACACATACACGTCCCCCATGGTAGGCTTACCATGCTCTCTCCACACCACATAGATACATAAAAAACTAACACCCGCCCCCCTCCCCAGCCCAACCAGTCCACAAACAAAAGAAAGCAGAGAAAAGGGGCGGAGGAGATTTCTCAGAGGGAAAAAGTACTTCCTGCCTCTGCGTGCGCGGGACTTGAGACTGGGTCAGTGCCCACCTAAAAGTGGGAAGAGAGATGATTCTCGACCAGGCTGTCCCCGACATCAACACATATGCCATTGGCACAATACAGAATTTTGGTAGAATTTCTTAAAAGAAAGAAAAACTAGTTATGGTGGACTACTGCACTAAGTAACTCCAACGGTCTGGAAGCTGGAGCAGGAGGGCTGTTGGGAGTTCAAGGTGAGTACCAGGCCAGTCTGGGCAATACAGCAAGATGCTGCATGAAACAAACTGAACAATGCTTGAAGACAGCTCCGATAGATTCCCTGGGACCCCACATAGTGAAAGTTGCTCTCACAAACAGAATCCACACCAAAACAAGCTAGGGTAAAGTTCAGTACTAAGAGGTCTTGCCTAGGTTCAATTCCCAGGTTAACAGCCTAGACACAAAGCCATCGAAAACAACTCTTAAAAGTTGTGATAGGAGCCAAAAGCCAGAGGCCTTGAGCATGACCAACTCATCACAAGGAGCAACTGTAGGTAAAGGTGTGTGGATAAAGGGGTACACTGGGAGACACACCCCACCCCGCAGCTCCCCATGCCACTGAGACAAATGAAAGGGTGATGGAGGCTGGCAAGACGGAGGAGGGTGCTGTTTGCTTTGGTTTTGAAATGTTATTTTTTAAACATTTTTAGAATTTCTTTTTGGAGGCGCATCAAGGGTGAAGGAGGAATATGGAGGGACCGGGAAATAAATGACACTGGGGTGCGTACAGGGAATTCCCAAACAATCAATAAAAAATTATGATGAGGATGCTACAGTGTAGCTCTTCACAGCTGAAGCTTGGAAGGGGTGGATGGGAAAGGAGTAGTTTTCTCTATGGGGCTGGCCACTGGGAGTTTGACCATGCTCCAGGGAGTACACGGGCAACACAAGTTGAACTTTTCCCCTTCTTTTGTGGGAGGAGGTGGTTTTGGAGGCCAGGGAAACCCAGAGGACCCGGAAATGAGTGTGCTGAGGGCGCATGATGTGAAATCCCCACATAATTAATAAAAACATTATAAATCAACAAACAAACAAACCCAGCAATCACCTGCCATATATGAAACAGCCAAAAGCTTTTAATTATGACCATCGTGCAACATCAAGGTAGGCTAAAGGTCAGACTGCAATGTCTCAGCTACTGTGAAAGCAGCTGGTTTAAATCCCTTGAAAATATAACCATTCATATATAAAAAGCCTGGACTTCTAGGTTCCTGAGATACTGACGTCTAGGTTCCTATTATTTGACATATTTGTGGGCTAGTTACTTATTTATCAGCAGAGGCTCATATCATATCATACCATATCATATCATAGCATCAGACACTGTTTGAGAGGTACTATTTTTTTTTTTAAAGACCATTTTAAAAGAAGTTTCTACTCCAATACTGCTGTAATGCTTAGAGAGATCACTAACTTAAGGTCTCTACTCTGCTGTAAGGAGTAGGAAGAAAGAAAACCCCTCCTTCTTCCCATCCTAAACTTCAGAACACTCATGTCTTTAAAAATTAATTAAAGGCTTGTTCTTTTAGTGTCTTCTTTTATCACTCAATTAAAGTCCTTGGTAGATATATATAGGCTACATCGGGTTTAACTGCTTACATTTACCCAAGTAGACCAGCACCTCCAAATGGATTTCTTGTCACAAAATTGTTTTATATAACTGAAGGTGTGGCATATTGGGCTGGAGAGATGGCTCAGCGGTTAAGAGCCCTGGCTGCTCTTCCAGAGGACCTGGGTTCAATTCCCAGCACCCACACGGCAGCTCACAACTGTCTGTAACTCCAGTTCCAGGGGACCTGATACTTTTACACCAATGCACATAAAAATGAAGTTAAATAAATTATTAGAGGGGGAAAAAGGTGTGGCATATCAAATCTGCTTATTTCCAGTGTGCAAAGACTAAATACCAAGGAGGCTAGCTGCCCAAAACACAAGAGTGAGACAATTTCCAGTCCAAGGCAAGCAATGGGAAAGTAGAACACAGCACGATACACTATACACTAAGGTACTGCAAAAAGGTCTCTGCCTTTGTAACTGTTACAACTCTGCAACAAAAGAAATGTCGGATGTTGCACAAGAACCTGCCTTCACAGGTCAGGTGTCAGCACCCTGGTTCAGCCCATTTAACAAACTATCCATCACAACATCAGGATGCTTCAATATTCAGAACATACCCACCTCAAATCTGTCGGCTCCTATTAATGTTTACTCAAGTCAGATGTGCTTTCTGCTTAAACCCTCCAATGCACATTTGTGGTGGCGCACGATTAAGGACTAAATCGGCGGACTCACCCTCTGTCGAAAGTCTGAATCAGCATTTGGGTTTAGCCCTAAAAGAGCCTGTTCATCCATGTCTGCGGTTATTCCTGGAGTTTTCCGATCACAACAGATGCGGCTTCTAATCCCACAGAACAATCCACAATCATCTGCAAACAGAAAACAATAGACGATTATCTAGGATATAAGAAGTGGCTGAAAAGACAACTCTGAAGAGCCTAAGTTAACTCACGGGAGCCTGCAGGGTTGGGGCTGTCTGCCGAGCAATGTCTGCCTGGGGAAAAATGGTATCTATCCTCCCTTGTTTTAGTGACGATTAAGATTTCCCTACACTCAGATATGATCATAAGACATCTCTTTAAAGTAGGATGGCTTGACTCAGAGTTTAATACTCTTCCAGCCATTTAGTATGGAAACAGAGTTAATTCTGCCTTTTACAGGTCTCTGCTCTTGTGGGCCAGTTCTAGAAAATGTATGTTGTAAACGACTTCCCTCACTGCAGAGCTCCCCTATTCCCACACCAGCTTTCCTTTCCCCTCCCCCGAATCCCTGGAAAGTAACCTAACTTCAAACACAGAGTCTAATATTCCCAGAGCAGAACATGGTAAGCTCCCAAAGACAGCTAGTTCTTTGACACACAGCATGCTTTTCTGCAATGCACTTGGAACAAACTTAAACCGGTGTGAATGCTATGTTCTCGCAGATGGGGAGTTTGGAGGGTTAAGTGCTTCCTGCATAAAGGATAAAGTGACCTGGATAAAGTGACTGACTCCCGAGCACCCGCATAAAGGTGTGGCATCATTGGGGACATGGTAGAAAACACTAGGCTGACCCTCAAAGCTTTCTGGCCAGCTGCTCTAGCCAAACTGGTGAGCTCCAGGTTCAGTAAGATTAGACACTGCCTCAAAAAAAAAAAAAAAAAAAGATGTGGTGGGAGTGCTTACAGGGTGGGAGGTAAGAGAGCAAATAGAATGCATTATGTAAAAATATGAAATTATTTTAAAAATAAGGTATATAGTGAAAATCAATGGAGGAAGGCACCTGATAGAGACCTTCCAAGTGCAAAACATGTGAGCACATACAGACACAACAAATGCACAAAGCACACTTTGCCGGAATTAGCTCTTACATTCCTATTACAAAGCGGGGAAATTAAAGAGACCAAGAAGTGAACGGTGGTCTCAGGCAGTCTTTTAGGAGCATCGAGGGGCGCTGCCAGGGTGCGGGGGTCCCTAACGTCCCGTTTTCTGCCCTCCTTTTGGAATCAGAGTCAGGATACGAGATCCCGAGAGCCTTGGGAAGGAAGGTCAGCCTCTTCTCTCTCTCACCACTCACGGCCAATCTGCAGACCACAGCAAGGTAATCTCAATGCCGACTGCCGACGGTATGAAGATCCAAAGGCTTCTCAACAACCAGCCCCTACCCCGCTGCAGGCTACTCAGCAGGGCCAGCAACACCGCATTTCCCGGCAGCTCTCAAGGCACACTCTTCTGTTCACCTTTGCACACACTTGCTCTTTCTGGCTCCGTGGTGAAACCCTGCAGGGCCTTCAACTGTCAACTCACAGATCGCCTCGTGATCTGACCCCTGCTGTCTGAGCCTACCAAACGGGGGTTAGTTACTCCTTACAAGCTCTATTTTCTCTCACTAACCAGCAAGAACAAGGGCTGTGAAATATGCATCACTATCACTATGTTCCTGGAAGCTTTCCTGTTTTTGTTTGTTTTGAGACAGGGCTTCTCTGTGTAATAGCCCTGGTTGTCCTGGCCTCCAACTCACAAATCCTCCTGTCTCTGCCTCCCAAGCTGGGATGCGGCTGTTCCTGGAATTTAAAAAGGCCAGTCTGGGGTTTTAAAAAAGTTCTGGGCTTGGCAGGGCAGTGGTGGTACACACCTTTAATCCCAGCACTTAGGAGGCTGAGGCAGGTGGATCTCTGTGAGTTCGAGACCAGCCTGGTTTACAAAGCTACAAACAAAACCTGTCTTGATCCCCCCTCCCCCCAAAAGTTCTGGGTTTCAAGCAGGAAGATGACTGGGGTTCAGGCTCTTGATTCCCTAGATCCACATGGTAGAAGAGAATCAACTCCTCTGTGTGTACACACAAATACACACCTATATACAAGATAAATACATAAAGGTACATTTTCAAGTCCTAGATCTATTTTCCAATCTTGTCATTAAAAACCAAAACCCAGCTGGGGTGTAGTATGTAGTGGCTCCTGCCTTTAATCCCAGCACTGGGGGGGGGGGGGGGCAGAGGCAGGTGGGTATCGGGTGAGTTCAGCCTGGCCTACTGATAGAGTTCCAGGAGAAACTCTGTCTCAGAAAACCAAAAACCAAACCAAAAAAAAACAAAACAAAACAAAAAAAAACAAAAAACAAAAAAAACCAACAAAAAACAAAACAAAACAAAACAAAACAAAAAAAAAAAACCAAACCCCAGTCATTAGTCAAGGTAGCACATTGCTTTGGGGGGTAGAGGCAGAGGATCTGTGACTTCAAAGCCAGCCTGGTATATCTACATACAGATTATCTGGCTAGCCAGGGCTACAGTGAGATTTTTGTCTCAAAAACAAAACAAAAATTGAGGCTACACAGAAAAGTATGCATTCCTTTCTGGGGGGGAGGGGTAGGCAAAGCATGTCTCCAATAGCTGATAAATTCAGAGGTAGGCACACAGGATGAATTATTCGAAGCATTCTTGAACCAGAATGGTATTTTGAACAGATGGAAAAGCAAAATGGTTCCGCCAGAGAAAGCAAAGTATTATTCCTCTTATAAATGCTCAGAGAGAAGTCGGTTTAAGAATTTATGTAAACCCCTGATTGAGAACCATCTAAAACTTCCTTTCAATTATCCACTGCTCTGGGGAAAACTGCTTAAACTTTGCCTTTCACGTTAATCTTTTGAGGGGGGGGGAGGAGCCCCACGGAAACACAGGATCAACAACAACTACAACAAAAACCCTAAGCAAACTTGCTATAGTTATCCATAGAAAAAGAATCCCTCACAAACCTTCGCCATTTACATATTCGGAAAAAACATTAGGGTGATCGAAATAAAATGTTCACCTATCTGTGAACAAAGCATTGAAAAACTATAACTAGTGTTAAAAGGTAACAAATTCCTAATAAAGACTGGAAAAGGACGGTTAGTATTCTGACCCACGGATCCGAGCAGGCTTAAACATTGTTACAATATGGTAAACATTTTATACAATCTGCAAAGGTGGATGGAGGGGGGGGAGGGGGCGAAAAATAAACTACGAAGTTATAATTTTTCCTTAGCCATCAAGTCAATAATCAAACAATGTGGAAAATTCCTCCACACCTACTTAAGCCTGTCTGAAACTGACTTAATCTTTCCAGCCTTTTAACATCAAGTTGACAAGTCGCTTTAATACAACGTAACTTCCCCCAGTAACAACTAATGAAGGCTTTCAAAAAGTACTCGTTTTTCAGGTTACAGGGAAGCATCACGCTTCTCCACTGCAGCAAGACCATAAAGACTCAAAGGTTTTTTTTGGGGGGGGGAAGGGGGCTACCCGTGCTGGCTATTCACTACGCAGAAACAGCACTTTTTTTTTTTTCCTCCTATTTGTCCCGGGGGTGGGGAGCACATCAAGTTGAGGTCTCTACTGTTGAAACTGGTGGGACACACTCCTAAACTATCACAAATGGGGTTGGGGAGGGGGGTGCAGCCTTCTAGGCCGGCCTCGCCCCCTATCCGAAGCCCCGATCCCTCCCTGGGCGAAGCCTCGTGGCCACCGGGGTGATGAAACACCCGGCAACCGGCAGCCACGCAGTCGGGACGTGGCCGCCACCGCTCGTCCCCAAGCCCGTCCCCAAGCCCGGCTCTCCCGCCCCGCAGGGTCCCCGGCCCGCCGCCCCCAGCCTCCAGTCACCATCACTCCAGTCCCCCTTCCTCGCCGGCGCTCCCGATGGGCCGGCCGGCCGCCGCACGCAGGGAGGACGGCGAGCGGCCCTCGTCCTTGTCGCTGGAGCCCTCCGCTACAAGCCGCAGCGCTAGCGCCCGAGCGGGGCTGGCCCGGGCCGCGCTCCTCTCGGCGCCGGCTCGGCGTCCCCGGGCGCCTTCTCCTGCGTGGCGCGGCGCGGCGCGGCGCGGAGCGGGGCGGAGCGGGCAGGTTGGCAAGCCGGCGGGCGGGGTCGGCGGCCTGGGAAGGGAAACTGCGCAAGGGCCCCCGCTAACGCCGCCGCTGAGTCAGCGCGAGGCACGCCCCCCGCGTCGTGCCGCGCGGACCGGCGCCAGCGGCGGCAGCGGCAGCGGCAGCGGCCCCAGCCCCAGCACCACCAGCAGCCCCAGCCTCATGGAGAGAGCAAGACGGCCGTCCACGGGCCGGGAACCCCCGGGGACTACAACTCCCAGCATGCAGCGCGCGGGGACGCTTCCGGGGGCCCGCACACGTGCTCCCTGGAGCTCGCAGGGGCGGGGCGGGGCGGGGTAGGGGCGGGGCGGGCCCGGCGGGGCTGTGGTGCATGTCGGGAGAGAGCATCCGGCCCTCCCCTGAGCAGGTTGCTGGGGTGCTCTAGGGTTTCTCAATGGTCGGCCCCATTGGGCCCCGCCGTGAGCAGGGGCCTGAAGTGCGTTTCCCGTCTTCCAGGGAGGACTGGTCACAGGTGACGGATGGCTCAGACCACTGGGCTCCTGGATGTGGCTTAGAGCACGTGATGAGCCAGTTGTGGAATTCCATTCCCGGGCTTCCACGTGTCAAGAGCCCAGAAGCTTGAGGATCCTGAGGGCTCACAGCCTTTTAAAATTAACTGAATTTTGACTTATTTGATTTGCATTCGACTCAGGATCACACTGCATAGTCTAGCTGGTCACTTGGGTTTTTTTGTTTGTTTTGTTTTTCATAGCTTAACCCAGGCTGGCCTAGACTCCAGCTGTTATCCACCCTCAACCTCCTAAGTCCCAGGAATTACAGGCAGGAGCCACCATGTCCAATTTAGATGTTTCTAATTTTGCCCACGAAAAGAAAAGCAATCTGAGCGCATACTATTTAATCCCAGCACTCAGGAAGCAGAGGCAGGATCTCTGTGAGATCGAGGCCAGCCTGGACTACAGAGTGAGTTCCAGGACAGCCAGGGCTACATAGAGAAACCCTGTCTCGAGAACAAAAACAGTGTAAAGGAAAGTGTTTATAAGAAGTCTAATACTTACAATCTTTGCTAGCTCGTGTCCAATGTTGCTTTTTTCATTTGACCCCAAGTTATCGTTACTGATGACAGACCAGAATAGGGTTGCCATGAAAGTCTAGCTTGGGCAACCAACGACTTTTCCTGGAGTTGCTTACAGGAACAGAAATGACTTAGAGACACAATGAAACCTTTGAGTTGTTCATTTCCTGAATTTAAAGAGTTTACTTGCAGGATGGAATGTTTAAACTCCCCTTTAATACCTTATGTTTTAAGGAGCATCCTACTATAATGAATGGTATTAATCCCAGAGGAAACAACACAGTGAGTTCAATGTTTAGAGAGTTTTTGTTTGTTTGTTTGTTTTTGAGACAGACTCTGTAGCTCTGCCTGTCCTGCAACTCAATCTGTAGACCAGGCTGATTTCGAACTCAGAGGTCTGCCTGCTTCTGAGCCTCCAAGTGCTGAGATCAAAGGTGTGCACCACTATACCTAGCTCAAGGTTTAGATTTAACATCCCACCATTCAGTACATACTGAACCCAGGCTGGATGCATTCTCCAGTGGAGAATGAACAGGCTTGGTCTGTTCTGCAAGCCTGTGATCCAGGCTGCTGGGAAGCTGAGGCAAGAGGATCTCAAATTCAAGGCCAGCAGGGGGAAAAAAACAGCTATACCCTACCTTAAAAAAAGTAAATAGAGGGCTAGAGATACAGCTCAGTGGTAGTGTGTTTGCCTTACATCCGCTACCCTAACTTCACTCCCTAGAACAATGGTTCTCAACCCGTGGGTCTCGACCCCTGTGGGGAAGGCTGTTGAATGACCCTTTAATAGGGGTCACCCAAGACTATTGGAAAACACAGATATTTACATTTCGATTCAAAACAGCAGTGAAATTACAGCTGTGAAGTAGCAAGGAAAATAACCTTAGGTTAGGAAGGGTGAGGACCACTGCCCCAGAGCCACAGAAAAGAGCTAACGAAACTTGGGAGCAGAGTGAGGAGGGGCTGGGAGGGAGTAGAATACAGTTGGTGTAACAGCTAAAATTCTTTCCCAGAGGGAATCTTAAGCAAAATCCATCCCCTCTTTTTCCAGACAGGGTTTCTCTGTGTAGCTTTGGAGCCTGGAACTCCCTCTGTAGACCAGGCTGGCCTCGAACTCACAGAGATCCGCCCGCCTCTGCCTCCTGAGTGCCGGGATTAAAGGTAGCACCACCACCATTTGGCTCACCCCCTCTTTTTCTTCTTTTTCTCTGTCTTTTTTAATTAATTTATTTTTTACATTCCAATCCCAGTTCCCCCTCCGTCCTCTCCTCCCGCTCTCTTCACTGCCCCCTCCCTTCTGCTCCAGGGAGAGGGTAAGGCCTCCCCCAGTATGCCTACTAAGTCTGTCCCATCATCTTGTTAAGGCAGAAGCAAGGCACCTTTCCACCCCCCTCACCCCTGTGTCTAGGCTGAGCCAGGTAACTCATCAATCTTTGCATGTACAGTTAACTTTATATCTTGTCGAGATGTTTGAGCACATGCTATACACTAGACACATTTCTAAGTGTTCATGCATTAACCCTCAACCACTCTATGGAGGTAGGTACTGGTATTTGTCTCAGTTTTATTTCTTAAATCATTTTATTTTACTTTTGTTTGTATGTGTTGCAAAATATTATTTTAAGGTGTGTTTCTTCTGTTTATTGCCCTGGCCCGAGGGGTCAGTCAACAGGGACCCTGAGGGAGGGAGGGAGAATGAGAGAACAACAGACTCGAGAGATGGAGACAAGACAGTGTTCTGATCATGTCTCATTTAATGGCTATGACCACAGGGCTTAAGTAGTAGAGAAATGAGGGAATGGGCCAAAGGGAGGATGCGAGGGAGGCAGAATGTCCTTCCAAGCAGGATGCAGGTGTTCTGCTATAAGTTGCTATAGGGTAAGCCTGCAGCTGGAACTCTTTCGTGGTAAGGTTGCATCATCGTGTTTAACAGGAGAACAGTCATAGGAGAATGGAAAATTACCAGTATGTTAGTATCTAAGAGATTAGTAGGAAAGATGGCTGCTAAGATGCTAACTTTGCTCTGGGGTTCTCCACAGTTTATGCTCTGCAAAAATGTGTTTGATTAAATAAAATTCACCTGCAGTCAGGAGGCTGGGTCAGCAATGAGCTGACAGGAAGTTGCAGGGAGGAGCCAGGTGGAGAAGGGTTTATAGCCAGGGTGGAGGAAAGGCAAAGGAACTTCTTGGAAGACCTGAGGAAGTGAGCTAAGTGAGCTTGCTATTCAGCCCCCCTGAGAAGCAGGGTTCTACCTCAACCTTTGAATATTGAGGTGTTTTGTTTTGTTTTTATATAGGAACAGAGATTTAGATAAGTTCTCTTTGTAGCTTTGGAAGAGTTGATGCCTGAGGGGACAGAATTCCTACTGCCAGCAGCAGAGTTGCAGTTGTTGAATAGGATAGCCTTAGCTTAAAAAGGGCACAGCAGTGTGTGCGTGCGTGTATGTATGTATGTATGTATGTATGTATGTATGTATGCATGCATGCATACATGTATGCCATATGTATGCAGGAGCCTGAGGAGGCCAGAAGAGGGTGTGGGTCCCTTTGAACTAGAGGTTCAGGCAGTTGGGAGCAACCTGACCAGGGACCTGGAACCAAACTTGGATCAGCTGGAGGAGCAGTAAGAACTCAAGCACATCTCCCCAGCTCTCTTCCTGATTTTATAGATGAAGAGACCAAAGTTCATGAGAGGCGGAGTAACCGATATGAGCTTCAAAATGATAATGAACTCTTAGGAGTTCCATGAGCCCTTGGCTCTCACGAAGGTCCCTTATGTCAGGAGATGTTATAGAACTGTACGATGAAGTCAGTTCTTCCTGTAAACATGCTCCAGAGGTCTTCTTCCTTCAACAGTAAGAAAAGAAAAATTTCCCCCGAGACAGGGTTTCTCTGTGACTTCAGAGCTTGTCCTGGAACTCGCTCTGTAGACCATGCTGGCCTTGAACTCACAGAGCTCCACCTGCCTCTGCCTCTCCAGTGCTGGGATTAAAGGTGTGTGCCCCCACCGCCCGGCAAAACTTTTTTTTTCTCTCTCTGTCTACATCTTCCCACCCATTTTGTTTATAGAGGCAGGGTCTGCTGGGTACCCCAGGCTAGCCCCTCCTGTCTCAGCTGGGATGAATCACCATGCTCTGTTGCTGCCTCCTCTTCCAGCTGCCAGAGCTCTTGGCAGAATATGGTGAGCAGTACACCTTCACCGTCTTTTCTCATGCGGTCCTCCTTAACAAGCACACCATCACATTCCTAGATAAGAAACCTGGTCTAAACTCATTGCTCAGAAAGGAAATAGCATCTTGATAGCCTGGTCTCTTGATTCAGCATTCCTTGACTCTAGCAAACCATATTTGTCCCTCCCTCAGGTTCTTTGTTTTTGTAATGGCTTCTCCGCAGTCACTTATTAATACAGCAGTGTCCCAACTGTGTCAGTCAGGGTCCTTTAAAGGAATAAGGGGATGGGACAAATACCCCTTATGTATGTATATGTAAAATGTAGGCATATATACATTTATAGGTATATATAAAGGGGTTCATTAGAGTGGCTTACAGGCTGTGGCCCAGATAGTGCAACCATGGCTGTCTCCAACAGAAAGACCAAGAATTCACTAGCTGGATGTCTCGGCAGTCCCAGTCTGGTGTTTCGGTCCCTGGGAGTTCCGAAGGAGCTGTTGGTCTTCCTTTTATATGGAATCCCAAAGTAGTAGGTTCTAATACCGTAGAAAGAATGTCTCAGAACAGGATAACTTAACTTACTAGCAAGAGCAAGGGCAAGCAGGAAAAAAAAA